AATAAAGAAATTTAGTAATATAAATAATAGTAATAAGTTTAACGATAAAGATTATTAACTATAATTATTAATAACGGTCGAGCTTAGTAACGAAAACCGCGCCTATATTAATATAACGGTAAATTAAATTATTCTATATACTTACTATAGAGTATTTATTATATAGAAGCTTATTGTTTTTATTAAAACTAAGTAAACTTTTAAAAAAGTTTAGAAAAAGCTATATAAAGAGTTCGATAACTAATACTTAATTTTATAGTACCTTTATTCTATATATTTACTTATAAAAACGTAATAGGCCCGCTACTTTATTTATAAATATTAGAACTTCGGTATTTATATAACTTCTAGTATAAAATTAAATAATAATAATATTAAAGGCTACTTTTTTAACGGTCTTAGCTACTTATATTAACTCGTCGACGTTATATAAGATATAATTAATAACTAGGAGCTACGCTTTTAATAAATATATATAGAGGACGAGGTATTTATAAGCCGAGATTACTTTAGCCCCCGCTTAAAGTACTTTAATAACTTTCGTTTTATAGTTTTATTAAAATATTTTAAGTTAATTACTAAGTAATACCGGCTTATATATAAGGTAATGCCCTTTAAAAAGAAGCTATTCTTACCCCCTATCGGAGCGTATAATAATAACTATTCTATATTAGTTAAGCTTAGTATCCCGTACTTTTATAAAATCTTTTTAAAAATTAAAGAATCGTCGACTTTTAATAAATAGGAGGTTTATTTATAATAACGGCTTCGGGGAACGTCTTTTTTTAATCTTTATTATTAGATTTTAAACTTAAAAATTATAATATCTCTCTATAATAAACTAAAAAACATAGTATAGCTAGTTCTTATAGAGCTTATACTACTTTAATAGGGCTAATAACCTCGATACTAAATTATTATAATATTTAATAGTTAAAGCTCGATTAGTTATAAGCGAGGCTGCCCGCCGGGAAGCCGTAATAAATTAACTTTAATAAAGGGCCTATAGGGGGTCTATTAACTAAGTTCTAGTTAGGCCCCCGACCTATTTTAGTAATAAATAAGAAACTAGTTTAGTGTTTTTAGTAAAGGAAAGATAATAGGGTATTATATAAGTAAATAGCTATTATAACTTAATATTTAAAAGTAGTAAAGCGAGTAAGAGATAGTATTAAATAACGTTAAATAAAGGATTTTATAGCTACGTTATTTTAAATATTTTTAAAAGACCTATAAATATTTAACTAAGTTATTAAATATATTAAATATTTATTTTTAAACGTTAAATACTTTACGAGGAATAGTTTAAGGGATATTTTATTTAGTAAAAGCTTTAAAGTTATTAAGTATATAAAATGTTAATATAACTACTTTAACTGCCTTTGCGGGGATATATTAAAATTTTAAGTTAATTATAGGGGCGAATATGTATGCTGCTATAAGGTGTATACCTCTATATTAATTCTATATACCTCTATATTAATTCCTTTTAAAATATTATTTATCCTTTACTTTTATTTTATTTTATCGTTATTAAAGCTCTACGTCGTTTATAAAAATATCGGTTTTAAATAGCTCGGGTATTTTTATAGTTTTAGTTTAGTAAACTACGCCGGTCACTAGCCGGGTAAAGTTAAGAATTATTTAAATAATCCTTCCTCTCTCTTTTTTATCGTCCTAGTTAATTAAAGCGTTTTATTTATATTTAAAGAGCGCGTTTAGGGCGGCTAATAAACGGCCTAGGTAATACTCGATTTTAAAATAGTATTATAAAAGTTATTTTATTTAATAGCTCTAGCGCTTAGTTAGCTTTTATTTTTATATAAAATACTTTAACTTTTTATAGTTTATAATAACTTTAAATCCGTAAGAGCTCTATAGCTCTATATCCTATATATTTAAATAGGATATTATAATAAAGAGCTCTTTATTATAAATTAAGTAATTATATTAAGCGGGTATAAGCTTTTATAAATAAAAAGTAATTAATTAGTATATATTTAACGGATCCTTTTATATAAAGGAGCTTTTAAATATAAATCTAGAGTAATTAATCTTAATAATTATTATTAAATTAAGGTTAAAGCTTTAAAATAAAGGCGCGAATATAAAACGCTTTTTAAGCGTTTTAAAAGCGGCGTTTTACTTAGCTATCTATTTAAATAGCGCCCTTTTTTTAATTAGGGCGTTAAGGGGTTTAATAATAGCGGAGTAATTATATATAAATACGTAGTAATAGTTAGCGAAGCTAAAGAAGCTTTTAACCCCTTTTACTATTTTAAATACGAGCTATTTATAAATAGTACGCATTTTCTCTAAGTTATATACGATCTTTTATTTTATTTTAAAAATAAATCTAACGTATTTTATAATTTAAATAGAGAACTCGCTTTTAACTAGGTCGAAATTAAGGCCCGTTATTATAAAAATACATAATATCCGCTATATTTTCTTTTCGTAATTTACTTTTAATCTATTTAAATATATTAATATATCGTCTATATATATAAAAGCGAAGTTATCGAGGAATTTCTTTAAGGTCTAGTTTATATATTTTTAAAATATAGCGGGCGCCCCGGTTAAGCTAAATAGATAAACTATTTATTTAAAAAGGCTATATTACGTTTAAAAAGTAGTCTTTTTTTAATATCTTTTAACTACTTTAATTTTATAAAAGGCCGCTATAACGTTTAGTTTTATAAACTATTTTATTAAACTAACTTTTTAAAGAGTTTTATTAATTAATAATAAAAAGTAACGGTCTTTTTATATAATTATATTTAATATTTTATAATTATAATAAAAGCGTAGGCCGCCCCCTAGTTTTTTAATAAAGAGAACGGGGGCTCTAGTAAAGGAGCTATTAACTCGAATAAAGCTTTTATTAAATAAGTCTTTAAAAGTATTATATAATACTAGTAGTTCTTTATAGAATATAAAATAGAGGGGGCTTTAGAGGAGGGGCGCTTTTTATTTATTAAATTACTACTCGAGGTTAATTATAAAATCGATTCTTAACTAAGCTAGTAAAAAGGGGTATACTTTAAATAATTTAAAAAGGTCGCCGTATTCCTCTTTTATTTATTATAATAGTTAAAAAAAGTAATCGGTCTCGCTCTTTAGTTTTAAAGCTTTATTAATATTAGTAAAGCTAATTACTTAGATCCCTATAGCATATTTACTTAGTTAGCGCTTTTTTTTTATAATAACTCTATAATATAAAATAATAAAAGAGGGGGCTTTTAAGCTTTATATTTTATAAATCTTTTATATTATAGCGCCTTCTTTTTATTTACTAAAATATATTCTTATTTTACCCTTTTTATATTAAATCTACTATTTAGCTATATTATATATAATATAGTTCCGTTCTATTTAAGGTTTTTTAAAAAATACGTTTATATCTAGGCCTTTAATAATATATATATATACTTTTTCTATATAGCTACTAATCTCGAAGTTAAAAGCGACGACCCCTTTAATTATAATTTAAATAGACTTATTTATAAATTCGCAAAGTCTATATTTTATTTTATTTATATATAAAAAATAAAGACGGCGGGCTAATTAAAAGTTTATTATAAAATATATATTATATTTATAATCTATTAGCGTTAAAGTTTTATATATTTTATTAATCCTCGTAATAAATAGCGCTAAAGGCCTATTTATAGTCCGTTATTAATTAAATAACTTTTATTTTATCCGTTCTTTATTTATAGGCTCTAGTACCCGATTTTATATTAAAACTATTCTTTTTTTAAATAATATTCGTTATTATCTAAGTTTACTTTTTTTATATAGTACTCTATGGGCGCCGCTTAAACTATATAAGCTTCCTATTTTTATTTATAGTTTTTTATAATATATCCGACTTTATTATAACTAAAGTAGCGCTAAGTTTTTAGCTTTATTAATAATTTCGCTTTTTATTTAGGCTTTATAGCCTTTATAGCTTTAATTATAATTATATTTTTATTACTATTAATATATTTTTTTATTACGTAATATCTTTTTTATATTAAAATCTAGGGGTTACGCTAATCGAAGTTATAGCCCTTTATATTACTAGCTATTACCTAGACGCTATAAAAGAAGCCGGTATATAATAATTTATTTTAAAGCATAGTAATTATATATTCTTTTAATTATAAAGTTAAAGTATAAGTAAAGTATTAAATTATAACGTTTATAAGCTACTTTTAGCCTTTAGTATTAACTAGGGTTTTTTTAAATCGGGGTAAAAATATTATAAACTTTTTACCTTTTTTTATAATTATTATTAATAGTTCGTTAAAAGCGTTCTTAACTTAATAAAGGTCGCTATATATTTATAAAAAATACGTAAAGAGTTTATCGGACCTTTATTTTCTATTTTTCTCTCTTTTATAATAGAATTAGCTTATTACTTTTTAAACCCGAGTAGTAAAATATAAAAAAATAAAATATTTCCGTTCTTTATTAATATAATAAAATAGTATATTGATAACGAGCTTATTATATATCTAGGCTTTTTAAATATTATATTCGTTTTTATTATTTAAAAACTTTACTAGGTTTAATAGGGGCTTTTTATAGGGGGCTTTATTATTAAAAAGCGCTTCTAAATTAGCGGGGGTTTTATAGAGGTTAGGTTTTTTAATAAAAAGCGTAGGGGGTCTATTTATTTATTAAAACTATTTTTATAATAACTATAAAATTTTATTAAACTTTTTATACTCGCGCTTTTATTTTATTATATCCGCCGCTTTTTTTATTTTACTCTATTTCTAGGCTTCTATTAGTTTTTATAAACTCTAAATAATCTATTTTTAAGTTTATATTATAGCTTTTATTAACTAAGTATTTAGTAGTACGTTAATAGTTATATTCGCCTCTATTATATAATATAATTAATAATAAAATAAATAAAAAGAGGAGCTTAAATATATTAAAAGTTTAGCCTATATAAGTCTACGTTAAAGGGATTTTAATATATAGAATTTAAATTAAAGAATAGAGGTTTTTAGAGCGGAGGTTCTGTAGAGGTTCTATAAAAAAAAAGCGCTTAAATAGGACCTTTATAGAAGCGGCGCGGTGAGCTGTAGTAGTATCCGGGCTGAGGCTTGGATCCACTAATCGGGTCTAGCCCGTAACACTTGCCGTCCGGCATCCAAATGTGTAGGCGAATGAGCTCGTCAATGCTGCCGTCTTTAACCAAGCTGCATAGCGGTACCGAGAGGAAGCCTTGTGCGCTACGAGAAGCGGTGAACTGTGCTCGGGAAGACGTTGTGGATGTGAGGGCGTTGTGGATGATGGTCCAGCATTGGTTGATTTCATCTGCTGTTGCTGGCTGGTTTTGACGGGCTGTCTCGCGGAGTAACGAGACTGCTACTGCGACAAGTGCAATATGAATGGCGGCTCCGGTCATTGCTGTGACATTTTGCCGGATAATGACTTGCCAATTTAGAAAAGATAGACTGGCCGGTTTGATCTTGGTCTCAGTGTCTTCGTTGTCTGGAGACAGCAGCTTTCCAATTGTGTTGATTTCATCAGGAGAAGCCTTAGTAGCCTGTGCAACCCCTGTTAACGATCTGAAGACTGCCTCGTATGAAATCTCCATTGCGTCTCGTTGATGAATGGCCCTGCTGATGCAACTTTTAATTCCAACTATTATCTGAATGGTACTGAACGAAGTATATACAGCGATGCGCGATTGAAGCGGTTTCACTTCTCGTCGCATGGGGACATAAAGCTTTATACAATAGTCGACTTCATAGATGCGAGTACGGCTATCCGCAAGGCACATTACATGCTGAATATTCATCCTTTCGACGAATCATAAGCGACACGGTGGTGACACACCGTCAGCACAGCCCCAGCGCATCCAGGCAACACCGAACTGGGAAGTGGAAAATGTAGAATAATGTGCGAAAAGAAAAGTCATGTTCATATTATATGGATATCTCTAATACTACAATTCGAAAAATCTTCAGTGCCTCGCACCCTCGCCGTTGACAACCTTGTCAACGTTGCGATGGGTGCCCCTAATGGGCGCACCGTTGTTATCCGTCAGACTCTGGCATGTCGTGACGTCGATGCCATTGGCGTACTTGTTCTTCTTCTCCCTTGCAAAACCATTGTGCGTACCATTGAAAGTCAGGTTGGCAATACCTTCGTACCCCTTGATACCGGTGCTCTTCTCCAACCTCTCTGCAATCTCGGGGTCAACCTCCCTGAAGATGGCAATCTGCTTCTTCAAAGGTTCCGGGTTCTTACACAGCTCCATCTTGCCCGTGACGTTGTTGATGAAACGCTCACGCGCATCCTCATCCCAAACCTTCTGCCACAGGGCGCGCGGCGCGACAAAGTCCTCTGGCCTGATTTCGGAGAGAAAGGTGATGGCTTGCCCTGTGAAGTGACCATGCGTCTTGTCCAGGTCGACGGTGCGAGCCTTGAATTGAACGGGGTCGATAGAGCTGAGGTAGTTGGGGCGCGCACCCTGGTTGAAGAATGCCATAGCCCCGTCGCGCTGGAAGTTGGCCATCTTGTGGGCAGTCTTTGGTGCATTGACGGGTAGCTGCTGGTAGTTTACGCCAATGCGGTGGCGGTGGGTATCAGGGTAGGAAAACAGACGTGACTGAAGGACCGGGTCGGCGGAGGGCTCAATACCGGGGGGCATGTGCGAAGGATTGAAGGCAACCTGCTCGACCTCCGCAAAGTAATTCTGAGGGTTCTCGTTCAAGGTGAACTCGCCCACCTTGCGGAGGGGGTATTTGCCCTGAGGCCAGACGTGCGTGAGATCAAAGACGTTGATCTTGTCGTTCTCCCACGCGTCCTCTGCCTCCTTGGGCGTCATGGTCTGAATCTCAACTGACCACTTGGGATAGTCGCCGTTCTGAATGGCCTCGAAGAGATCCTTGCCGGAGTAGTCAGCCGACTTGGTTAGAGAGTCCTCTTGTGTGATGAACTTGGTGCCCTGTTGGGACTTCATGTGAATCTGGGCGTAGACCCATGATCCGTCCTTGTTGACGAGCTTCATCGTGTGGCCGGCGTAGCCGTGCATAAATCGGTAGCCATCAGGAATTCCGCGGTCACCCATCAAAATCATGACTTGGTGGATTGACTCGGGGTTCTCGCTCAAATAGTTCCAGAACTATGGATTCTTGTTAGCAAGGATCAACTGCGAGGTCAGAGGATTAGAACGTACCATGAACGAGTCATCCATATGGTTAAGATGCGTTTGCGGGTCACGCTTCTGCGTGTGAATGAACATGGGGAACTTGGCAGGGTCTCGCAAGAAGAAGACGGGCGTGTTGTTCGCCACCATGTCCCAGTTGCCATCCTCTGTTCTGAATTTGACAGAGAAACCTCTAGGGTCGCGAGCAAGATCCGGCGAACCAGACTCGCCGCCAACAGTCGAGAAGCGCACGGTGATGGGGCACTTCTTGCCCTTAGTACCGAAGATATCGGCCTGCGTAAGCTCCGGAATCGGGTCCGTACACTCAAAGAAACCGTGAGCACCGCTGCCCTTGGCGTGAACGACACGCTCCGGGATGCGCTCGCGGTCAAAGTGAGAAAGGAGGTCGATCAGGTGGAAATCCTGCAGCAGCAAAGGGCCGTTCTCTCCGCATCGCTGCGTCTCGTAAGGGTGAGGCATGGGGACGCCATTGCTGGTACTGTAGATGGCCTCCTTGGAGGTCATCTGTCTGTCCTTCTCGTAGGTACTGAACTGGCCTGCCACGTGGGCTGCGAATGATGTATCGGTGGAACCCATATTGAATGTCTTTTGGGCAGTTTAACTGGGATGTTTGATGATACTTTGGACAGTCCCCCTTAGATTCAAAAGGTCTTGAGAGAGGTCTTATACCAGAGAGAAAGATGGTGAGCTGTGCCGCCACCCGCTGGTGCTTGGGCATTTTATGTGGAGGGGCTCGAACGGGCAAACACACACACACACACACAAAAAGTGCCATCAAAACTCAATGCCATGACGCAGTTCTGGAGGAACAATACCGTCACTCATATTGGACGAATCACAAACTGCAGATTACTACGTCGAAGCAGTCTGAAGACGGGGAGGAGTGCTTGTCACTTCATGTCTGTAGTAGCGGCATGGGGAACGACGGAACTAGGCCATACCCGCATTAGCACCCGCTCTCCAAGCGGCGGGTCGCAGGAATCGATGACGCTCGGTACGGAGCCTCCTTGGCCTCTCGACTTTTCGATTTTTCGTCTTTTCGCCTTCTCGACTCTGAACTACGGTCTTAGTTCGGGGATAACTCCGTGGCAGCGAAGACCAGTCAGTGTATGAATGGGTATCATGGCGAATCTCCCGATACCCTGGCGCTGAAGTCAATTGGTTACCTAGAGCCTTCAAATGGACATGGGGGAATTCGAAGGAGCCACGGAATCCAGATCTGAAGACTAGATGTGACGAAGACCAGAACTGCGGGGGCCAAATGGCGCGGTAGACTAAGACGATTTAGACCATCAAGCAAACACCGGCACTTGTGTGAAGCAATCCAAGATGCAGCTGCTACCAAGATTCCGGAGATCTAGCTCCGGAGGAGACCAGACGCCACTGCCAGATTCCCATCTTTCATGAATGGAAATCATTCAAATTCGATATTTGGTGGTTAGCCTACTGGTACTGAGTAGCAGTGTGCTAGGGGAATCCCAGATTCGGGGCAAAAGCACCGATCCGCATGAACGCAATCGATGATGTATGCGAACAGCCCGCTGATGTCATGGAGCAGAAGGCCGAGCCAAGACCGATGACAGGCGGCTCCACCCCCGCCGTGACCTTGGCCGGCGAACGCAGATCGAGGACACTTTTGAAGGCTTTGGTGATGAGGCAAAAGTTCTAGAACGTGATGAAGTCGGCGATGCGGCACGCGAAAAGTCTGAAGGTACCTTTTGAAGAAAAACCGTTGAATAATCACTTTAAATCCTTTTGTCCGTTTTATGTACATCAGTCCCAGCGATACCTGCGTTTGAAACTCGCAATACCCACACAACCAGACTCACCGACGATGGTCTTCTACGGCACACCCTTTGAAGTGCACCAACGAGTCTAAATGCTAAATGACGCCGCATTTGAGTTCAAATGAAGAAAACTTTTACGGCAGGAAACCATTTATCCTAACTCTTCATCGGCCTTGGCATAGAGTCGTAGATGAGTCGAGCGAATGAGTTTCATTCTCACTTATCCTTCATGACGATCGATGAGTGACTTCTGCCAAATTTCGGCACTCATTCATGTCTCGATTTGATTCACCGATTTCTTCAATCGCCTCACCCTCGACCCGCGTACTGTTAACCGGGGGGTAATGAGCCAGCAGAAGAATGCCCACGGCGACAACGGCGAGAGCCTATAAAGCGATTAGAGAACAAGCATTAGAAATGTAGAGACTCATGTGTGAGCACTCACGGCGTTCACAAAGAAGGTGAGATTCGGCTTGCCCATCTCAGATAGGGTGGCGAATATGAAACCAAAGATACCCTGCGTCGTCAGAGTCGCTGCACTCTCAACCAGGGTGATGGCGCTCAGGGCATCTTGTCGCATATGCGGCGGGCACATTTCTGTGATGACGCCCTTGGCTGCAGGAGCCGACCCGGATGCGAATGGCAGCAGGAAAGCGGCTACGAATGAAGTCGATTAGCATCTTGCTCTAGTTTCTGGAGTTCGGGGTAAAGTGAGCAGCAAAGTTGAGATACTCACCGGCATAGACATGCCAGCCCTCCGTCGCCCAAGCCGCCAGGGACGTGACGATGCCATCCACCACCAAGCTCCACCTCAGGAAGAACAGGTCAAAAGTGCTATCCTCGTCCTCCTCTTCAGGCGGCGCCTTTGTTGGCTCGGAAGCGTTCATCAAGCCGGGTGCCGGGTCCATGTCTTCGGGGTGAGTGGGGATGACGCTGCGTTCCTCCTGGGTGAGTGTCTTTTGAAGAGCTCCGGCATGAGATGACGAGGCAAACCATCTGCGTCCGCTGTCGATGATTTCTGGAAAGATGAACATCAAGAAGATGCCGCGGATCCACGAGTTGCCGGACATAAGGATACCGTTCTCCGTCGTGCCAAAGTTGAAGCGGGAGGTGGCGTACATCTGGATGAGGATGGGGGCATAACCCGTGGCGAACTGGGGCACCGTTAGCGATGTTGTACAAGGACCGAAGTCGCAAATGCACGCAAGGCATCATGAAATAGTGGACTTACCACGCCGAAGAAGATGCCCAGGGCCAGGAAGACGAGGCCATAGTTTTTGACAATCTTGCCGGATTCGAGGCGGTACTTTGACGGCATAAGCACCTTGATAGGAGCCAGGAAGCCAGAAGCTCCGAGCGTTGTCTTGCCGTCCGTTTCTTCGGTCTCTTCTGGGGGTGCCGGCCAGAAGATGGCGCCGTAGGTCGTCGCAAAGGCAAAACAGCCGATGGCAACGACGAAGGGACTGGTGATGCCGAACACATCACCCAAAACACCACCGACTAATTAGGAATTAGCAGACGATGGTAAGAAAGGCAGAGTATCAACTTACGCAAGTAGCCTATGGCGGTACCGATCATGACTGCGCCCTGTAGCCGACCAAAGACGCCGGTATGCTTTCTTCTTTCGACAACCTCCGCAATTGCCGTGTTAAGAACCAGCCTTGAATACCAATTGCATTAGCGCCGCGGTTTCAGCGCATCTCATTTTCCTTCCTGTAAGTAGGTAGGTGAAGCACTTACATGTATCCCCTCGGCCCACCAAAGATGCCAATGAGCTGCGTGTACTGCATCATGTCGATTCCCTTTTGCGCGCCCTGCGACACGGCGAGGACCTGGCACGAGACGCGGATGCCGAGCAGGCCGGTTTGACTGATGAGAGCCCAGCGGGTGCCCCAGCGCTTGATGAGGTCGCCGCAGATGAAGAGGTTGAGGATGCCGCAGACGGAGGTGGTCATGCCGAGGATGGAGACCTGGGTAGCCGTGTTTGCGTCGATCTCACGGCGGTGGCACATTTCCGAGAGGGGGCCGTCGTAGGGCGCGTGAGACTTGTAGAACGTCTCGCATGCCATGACACGGAAGACGTAGATGATGCTGTAGATACATGTCAGTCTCCGTTACTATGGTACACATCCTCGTAGCCATGCCGTAGTACAACACGGATGGGAAGAGAGGGGTGGACTTGTGCGCACGGAACTTGGGTGAGGCCTAGTGTCAGGGAGACGAGGAAGCCGGCGAAGAGGATACGGTTTGCGGGTGACCAGAGGCCGCGACCGACCCGCTTCACGGCTCCAGCGCCGGATTTGACTTTGAGGAGGGGGGTCCGTTCATCTGCATCGGCGGCCATCGGGGCGGGTGGTTGGGTGTGTGGATGGGATAAGGTACGGTCACAGAGAGGGGGGAAGAGAGCTCTTAGTTTCGCAGAATCACGCCTTTCGTCCAATAGAGTGTTTGTTTATGAGGCTCAACTCTAAAGATCTGGTAGAACTAGGAAGGTCGGTAAACCGTTTCGCAGGGTGGGAAGGGGGAGGATAGGACAGGATGGGAGAGGAGAGGGGTTCGAAAGGGAAACAAATGGCGACAAAGCCGAACTGGGCTGAATGGGGGGGCATAAAGCGATTAAAGGTCACTGGTGACTGGGGGCTATAAGGTGTGGTAAGAAAAAAATCGAGTGAGAATTGTATGGGTTTTCCTGCTAGTTCCCCGGATTGCTGGGATGTTTGTTGCTGCTGGACCGTTTTACCGAAAAGACGTGCGGAATCCCCGCTATTTCGTCAGGAAAATGATGGACCTTCCACCTTTGGGTTCTTCTTAAGAGGGACTTTGGTGGAGCACTACAGAGTCCTGACAGGTCACCGGTGTTGGTTGACGGACTGAGTGGTGCCGGGAGTGTGAGGGAGGGAGGAACTGTGGGTGTGGCGGAAGAGGATAGCACTCGGTAAAGCCAACAGATAGCCGCAAAAATGACCCTTACAGACTGGTTAGAGCATGCAAAGACCTTTGGTCTCTGTTGGCTGCACCTAGTATGTGTGGTATTTTGGTGTGTGAGAGAACTGCAAAAGAGCCGATGAAATGGAGGGGGTGAGGGGCGGCCGCCGATGCAGGAGCCGAGCGCGGCCTTTGGGTTGCCGACCCGGAGTGGAGAGGGTGGGGTCCCGGATAGCTGGACGGGTGCTGATAGGTCCGAGATAAATTTGCCGGAGTCTAGACCCGTTGGACCGGCGCAGGACCGGAGCTTGTCCGGGAATGCGCTGCTTATCGTCGGTCTTGAGCTGCCGACGAGGCCGGCCGACTCCGGCTTACACCTACACCTACATCCCTTACCTTGCCAGTACATCATGAGCCCCGTAAACCCTTGAGCCTCTTCAGCGCACGGATAGATGGAATAAATTTTGTTCAAATCAGCAAAAGGCTTAGAGTAGACAGCCATATGTAGTACAAGATATTGAATCCTCGGAAAATGATACCTCATGCTCATGCTCATGCTCATGCTCATGCTCATGCTCATCCTCTGGCTTTCTCATCCCTCAAAGCAAAGGATGCTCCAGCACAAGCTTCCCAAACTTGCCCTGGTCAGCAACCTTCTTCACCTCCTCCAGCGCATCCTCCGCCGTTCCCTTGAACACATCCACCACGGGAATCGAAATCTTTGTGCCGTAATTCTCAACAGACCACATCAACGCCTTCCACATTCTCCCCCAATCCTCCAGCCGCGCCGGTATTGTGACAACGGGACCACCGCCCAGCTGTAAGGTAATCTCCTTGTTCGCCGACGCCAGCGGCATCTTGATCCTCCCACCCGGCTTCGCCACGACAGACAGAACAATAGCGTTATCATTAACACACGCCTCCGTCTGCGAAGCCGAGGTGACCTCTCCCTTTGAACCCGCACAATCGGCAGCGTACCGAATCGGCCCCACCCCAGCCTCCTCCGCCGCCTTCTTGATCTGAGAACTTACGTCTGGGGCGTTATAGTCGAAACAGCGCGTCGCTCCCATCTTCGTAAGCATCTCATGCCGCCCCGGCGACGCGGTGACGAAGATGGGGCTCGCGCCGCTCTCCCGCGCTAATTGCAGCATGCATATTCCAACGCTGGCAGATGCGCCCCAAATAAGCAGCGGGCCAGGCTTGAACCCTTCCTTTGCCTTCTCCCCTGGAAGAGGGTAGCCGAAAATGTTGTACAGCCCGTCGGCGGCCGTGGTCAGCACCACCGTGAGGCTCGCGGCGTGCGTCTGGGGCAGGTTTACTGGGACCTTGAAGAGCATGTCTTCCGGACAGCTCAGGTATTCCTGGTGCGCGCCGTGCCTCATCGGCTTGCCCATGCCCGTGGGTACGTAGCCGGCCACCAGGTCGTCGGGCTTGAAGGTGGACGATGCATTCTCGCCGGCGGTCCGGACGACGCGGCCGCAAAAGTCGTAGCCGAGGGTGACGGAGCGGACACCGATGTACGGTGCGTGTTTGACGTCGGCGGGGTTAACGCCTGAGTAGAGCACCTTGACTAGGACCTCGCCGTCTACGGGGTCGGGAATGGGGAGGTTGCGGATGACTGAGAAATTGCAGTCTTCGTCGACGTAGAGCGCCGGTGCTGTTGATGTTTTGCTGCCCATTGTGAGGTTTCGTGTTTTTCTGTCCTGGTGGACTTTGACTTTAGCTGCCCGCCATAATTATCACACAGCAGACCAGATGCATCTTATGCAGTAACCTGTGGCCATGGTCGGAACACTTCACAACATGGGAATTGACCCATTGAGTTGCCCTCTTTCGCTAGCGTCCACTTCTCCGGGTCGCGACCCTCTCGTAAAATCAGGCATCCGGTGGGAGGTGGGTGGCTGAATAAAGATAGACGGAGCTCTCCAGAAAAATCACGGACGAATACGGCCGTCTCGGCCAAGTTGCCCGATTTATTCATCGGCGACCGGAACGTTCTTAACTCCCGAGGTCGCCGGGACCCATCTCCAGACGCTGCCGGGCGGGGTTGGTAGCGTAGTGTTGACGCGCCTCGGGTGATCAGCAGGGCCAAATGGCGGGGAAGAACTCAAACATACGTGACATGGATAAGTCCAGGCTCTTTCCGACGTCTCGCATGGCACAGGCAGACCGTAGGGCTACGTATGAACAGGTTCCAGGTTGAGTCCAATAAGTACAAGGCCCTCGGACCTCCCCCAGGCCAATATTGCCCCAAGAGGGCGAAAATGGCAATGTCATTGGTTGGTAGACAAGTGGGAATCTGCCGTGGAGCCATGCCGGCGAAGGGGGCCGTGTTTCTGGGCGTCCTCGACGATCTGTCATCAGGAATTGGGTCAAATCCGAGGATTTACAGAGTCCCTTGAGATGTGAAGACAGGCCGGGGAGCTCGGATTTAGGATGGTCTCATGTAATAACAATATAACAGACATGCGAAGCTGCTGCCATCAAAGAGACTAGCAGTCTTGTTCTAGACAAACATTGTACCTGCATCAACGGGTATTTATCTCTGCGAGTTTGTTAGATTAAGCAACAATGGCGCCACTTATCGTCAACAACATTGAAGTTATCCAGACCCCCACCATCCCTCCAGCATGGCCAACTCCCAAAGAGCCTTCCCGCGTGGAGCTCTCAGCCGGAAGTCAAAAGACCCCAGAGCATCGTCCGCTCCCGTGCGACATCATCCTTGAGCGAGACCAGCCGTTGACGCTGCGCGACGGGACCCGCATCCGCGTTGACATCTTTCGGCCGAAGACGGACGAGAAGGTCCCCGCCATTCTGATGTGGTCGCCTTATGGAAAGACTGACACCGGTACTGTCCAATATGATGCCGATTGTGTTGTTGCGTATTAAATACTAACAGTATTTTCTAGGAACTTTGAATCTCCACGCAGTTCCTTTGCGATGTGGCGTTCCCTTGAGTAAACTCTCTGGATACGAGTCGTTTGAGGGGTAGGCTCACCCGTACATGCGCCCTTATCATCAGACCCAGAGACTGACTTGCCTCCAAGACTCGACCCCGCTGAATGGGTGCCGAAAGGCTATGCCATAATCAACGCGGATGCCAGAGGATGCGGCGACTCTGAAGGTGACATGAGGTCGTGGGGTACCCCAGAGGGCCAGGACGGCCACGACGCCATTGAAGGCATCGCGAAGCTACCCTGGTGCACAAGCAGGGTTGCCATGGCTGGCAACTCGTGGCTTGCGCTATGTCAGTGGTACATTGCCGCCGAGAGACCGCCTCACCTGACGTGCATTGCCCCTCTGGAGGGTGCAAGCGATCATATGCGCGAGAGTCTGTGCCGCGGCGGGATTCCTTCGATTGGCTTCGGGTCGATGATTAACAACGTGGTTCGCGGTACATTGTACACCTATTCTCTTTGAGTGTTCGTTCTTTGACTCAACTAACTGTGCGATAGGTCGCGGTCATCAAGAGAATAGCGTCGAGATGCTGCTCAAGCACGGGCAGGGTCTCAGATCGTACTGGGATGACAAGAGAGCTCGCATGGACAGGATTGAGGTCCCGGCGTACATCTTGGGCAGCTATTCGACGATGCTTCACACCATTGGGAGCTTCAGAGGCTTCGAGGAGATCCCTCACCAAAACAAATGGTTTGTCCCATGCTTCGCCTGTACGGCAATCTGCTGACTTCTTCTTAGGATCGTGACCCATGCTACGCAAGAGTGGTTCGACCTGTACAGCCAAGAGCGCACCAATGACCTGCAAAAGTTCTTTGACCGCTACATGAAAGGCATCGATAACGGATGGGAGAATACTTCGCCAGTCAGGTTGGCCGTGCTAGGCTACAGCAAGCCGCCCATCATCGATCTCCCCTTTGACTCCCTACCTTGGCTAGCACCCAGCGCCACCAACACGGAACTCCAGCGTCTTTACTTGGGCGCCGACAAGACACTGCGGCAATCCAACAACACAGATACCACGACCCTTGGCTACGAGGGCACGGAAAACATAGTCTTCACGCACACCTTTACCAAGTCCACACAGCTGCTGGGCCCAACCAAGCTCGTAGTCCACGTATCCTGCCCCTCCGCTACAGACTTTGACGTCTATGCCCAGCTCCGGAAGCGAGATGCAAGCGGCAAAGACCTTGAGCACCTCAACATCCCCCTAGAGGCACTCCCCGTGTTTGATACTAAGGAGGTCCCCAACATCAACCCGCTCAAGTACCTAGGACCCAACGGCAAGCTCCGCGCCTCCAAGCGCAAGGTCGCGCCGGAGCTGTCGCCGAACTACTGGCAGACACTGGCCCACGATGAAGATATTGAGGTCCAGTCGGGGGAGATTGTCAAGATGGAGGTCTGGATATGGCCCACTGCCATCCAGTTTGACGCCGGAGAGCAGTTGGCGCTCAAGATCACCGGCTCTGATAGCCTGGTGTTGCCAGAGTTTGAGTTCTTGGCCGAGAAGCCGAAGAATGCTGCTGCTCAGGTTGTCCACTTTGGCGGAGAATACGAGAATTACTTGGAGGGGCACTGGCATGATTGAAGGGCTGAGAATCATGAAGCCTGGCTGGCTTTGGTTGTTATACACAGCAGTTATCAAAGTCATAATTGTTTGATCAAGTGTATTAAGTTTATATCATTACAAAGCCCTACTCCAGCGCCTGAAGGAACTTGGCAAAGTCCAACGTCCCAAGACCAGTCGCCGGATCCCATCCAGCAGTCGCAGACCACCCGCTCTCAACCTTCGTCCCGTAAGAGCAGCTTCCGCTAGACCCGCTTGTGACATCGTTGATCGCAGAACGAACCTTGTCAGAGTACAGGAGCGGGTTAAGGAACCCCAAAGCAGGCTTTCCCTCCCTCATCCGCTTATCGTTGGCGAGAGCAATCATAGCAGCGACGACGGGCGTGCTGGCACTCGTCCCCTTCTGCGTCCACCCAGGCTGCATCAGGAATCGAGAACCAATGGCCGAGATGTCCGGGCTGCCGCGGCCGTTGGGCGCGTACCAGCCTGCGTGAGATCCGTTGATGCCGGCAATGTACGCCTTGGCCGCGGATTCCTGCCACGCCGGACGCTCAAAGTACTCGCTGAACCCGCCGGAGCTGTACCACGCAGGCTCCGTCGGCGCGTAGTTGCCCGTCGCGCCGACGCCCGTGACCCAGGGACAGTCGACGGGGAACGTCGGGATGAACTTTGTCGTGTTCTTGCCGTCGTTGGAGATGCAATCGCCAGACCCGATGCCTGCTGCGCCACCGTCGCCGGTAGCTACCAGAACAGAGACGCCGCGGGCGGCGACTTGCATGAAGAGGTCGCAGACGCGACGGGCGTACGGCTGCGGAATGAGCTGCTCGTCATCGGTGTACGAAATGGAGATGACGTCCGGGATGGTCTCGCGCGCGAGCAGAGCCTCGAGGAACTCGATCCAGGGCTCGTGGGCGCTGTCCTTGGGGTCCTTTTCTTTACCGTCGGGTCCGATCTCGGGGCCGCGCCCGCCGGTGGAGAAGTAGGTTACGTTCATCGGCTGGATGAAGGGCATGCTGTACTGGATATCCAGCAAAGCTTCGACGCCGCCGCCTTCAGTGGTGTCGCTGCCGCCGTTGATGGATTCCACGGTGAGATTGTACTTTGGCGAGAAGGCGGTGGCGTTTCTGCGGGGGCTGTAGGATGCCAGGAACGCTTGGAGAGTGGGAACATTGGGATATTCCTCTAGGAAGCCGGCGATACCAAAGTCTGTGGGTGATGGGCCGTTCGGTGGGCTGTAGTTGATGTTGTAGAGATCTACGACGCAATCGGGGGTGGTGTAATCCCAGCAACTCCGAGGCACTGTGATGTGTTAGTGTTGTCTTAAGAAACCTTGTCATTCGAATCCGTTTTGAACTCACTCGTGCTCTGTCGTTTCACTTTGCCAGACTCCCTCGACTTAATCTGTCGTCTAGGCGGCTTGCTCATGAACTGGGTAACCGGGAAGACAAAGTCGACAACCTCTGAGACCTGGCTGGGAAGAGTATACTCTTTGGCCCGCAACACGGCCTTCTCGCTCTTGTACTGATACTTGGAGAACTTGCAACCCAACAAGCGATTCGCTTTACCGACGGTGGTGTTGATGCGAACCCAAGCGCCGTCCTGAACAAAGTTCCGAATGTCGTGAGCAAAAAGCCAAGTCGCGACAACGGCGTGGGCATCGGTGTTTGGCTCCTGGAACATCTCCAACAAGTCACGAGATACGTGTGCGCCATACTCGGCATGGTTCGGGTCGCTGGTCACCTCGAGCCGCGCCTTGAGCTCTGATAAGCCGGGCTGCTTCAATGCGACGGAAAGCTGGATCGTGTTGAGGTCATCGGCCGTAGCGACGTGCCGCCAGCCCTGCGGTAGCTGCTTCACTGCCTCGTGAACTGCATGGCCGCTCGTGGTCGGTTGACTGAGAGCGAAGCTGCTCAGAAGCAGAGCTGAAACCGATGATAGCCTCATCTTCTTTCTCGTTTGCTTGCGAGCGTGGGAAAGCGTGTCGAGTCTCACTCTCTGCTACGGTCTGCTTGGACTTGCAGCGTCACTTCATCTAATACCAACGGCCAGCCTTCAGGGGCCGGGACAAGCTTTTCGGCAACCCGCCCGTATCACTCGACCCGCTGCTTGGCGATGAAGAACATCTTGGGTAGGATTTGACATCATCGTGGACTGTTTCCCCCTCCAGGGGTACCCTTGCAACAAGGCTTTCTAAAAGGTGAAATCTCCGCCAAAAAGCTCGTATCCCAAAGATCGGACGACTGCCGAATCCCGGTAGAACAAGTCAAAAAGAACACAACCGTCACAACGGGGCCAACCGTCGGCCCTACCGCCCTGGGGTTAACCCAAAATACTAGACGAAGCTTGATGGTGGTTGGGCGCATTGAGCCAATCTCGCTTTGGTTCGACAATAAGAAAGCCGTTGATATCCACCAACTAACGTCCACTGTGACCCCATATCAGCACTCTATTCGATGCCTGTCACAATCTTAATACGAAAAAGACTCTTCTCACGGCTCCCACCGGCGTTAGCGGCAGCGATTCTTCAGGGGTCGCTCCGGAGCGATCATAGCCAAGCCGGGACTCGAGGCTGCGTGAACCTGCTTTCTCCGGAAAGTCGCCCGAATATTCCTCGGTCTCGCAGGTCATAAGTCATAAGAGATTCTAAAAAGTTAGTATCCGAAAATAGCATTAGCATGACCCCGGTCGTGATCTTCCCCGCCGTGAACTCAGATGGGCCAGGAGCATGTGGCCACAACACCACTAGATGATAAGAGAACGTGAACCCTCACACCGGGATTGAGCCTCTCTTCCACCACGCACCTCAGTCACTCGCTCAACCTCGCCCCTACCGACAAGATGCTTGCCCAGTCCCTCGTCATGACGGCCTTGGCCAACGGTGCCCTCGCGGCCATCCCCACCGTCAGCATCCCTCTGCACTACTACTACGGCGGCGGCCACAAGATCGCCACGAATTTGATGAACTCGGCCGCAAACACTTCGGTCGAGGTTGTTTTCGACCAGGGCTCCGAGAACTTCTGGGTCTTTGGCCCCGATGCCATCAACAACTGGGGCTGCACCGGCTTCTTCTGCCAGGGCCAGTGCAACGCCACGGCCGAGCCCTTCTACGACTACCCGCACAGCTCGACGGCCAAGAAGCCTGAACCTTTCGTGACGCAGTACGCCTATGGCGGCTACACCAAGATCGTCCAGGGCAAAGAGAGCGTCAACGACACGTTCCTCTTTGCAGGCGACGCCGGCCTCACATCAAAGGTGGACGCCCGCGTTGCTATTGCCAACTACATGCAGCAGCGCCTGTTGGACGGCGGCCAGTGCAAGCCGGCCCCGTATGACCTCGGCATTCTCGGCGTCGCGCCCTTCTACCGCACGGCGGAATGGAACACCACCGGGCCTCACGTCCGTCAGGATCTCCTCGAGAAGGGAGCCATCAGCGCCCCCGTCCAGAGCATCTGGTTCGACGAGGCCCCCGCCGATTGGAAGGGCACCTTCACCGGCAACGCCGTCTTCGGCGCCATTGACCTATCCAAGTTTACGGGTGACCTCGTCCGGGTGCCTCTCGTCAAGAACGACGGCCTTGGTGCCACCGTCGGATACTTCGTCTCTCCCCCCACTGTCAAGGTCAAGAACGTCACCCTCGACAGGTCGGAGGTCACCACAAAGTCCTGCATGATCGACTCTGGCACCCAGATCAACGACCTGCCCATCGGTGATGCTGGCCTTGCAGCCTTCTTCGCAGCCGCCGGTCTTACCCGTGATTCCATCGGCCACGTCTCCTACAACGGCAGCTGCGACTCTGTTCCCAAGGACCTCACCATCGATCTCGAGTTCGCCGGTGCCGATGGTAAGAGCGTCACCATCAAGACTCCTGTCCGTAACTACATCCGCAACAACGCAGATGCCGAAGCTGGGCTCTGCGCACTGAACATCGACACTGGCGCCTGCATGCTTGGTGCTCCTTTCGCCACCTCTGCCTTCTTCGCTGCTGATGATGCCAAGGGCGAGATCGCGTTGGCACAGGGTGGAATCTCGAAGAGAGGTAGCAAGGCGGATGATGCCTCTCTGTCTCTGGCTATTCCTTGAGCAAGGAAGCGGTCGCTTGGATAGTAAAAAGAATAATCATTAATCGTTGAATCTCAAGAAAGTGCAAGCCATCTTTGCGTCAAAACCATCCAATACAATCAGTCGTTAAAGTGACATTATACCGCTCATGAATCCGCTCGTTGGCAATCTGGAACATCACAAGAATCCCAAACCAGCTTACAGTAAAGGAGCCTTGCTGTTCACCCGCGTCTTGACTCTGACATGGAAGTCCACGGGTCTCAAGTTGAACCAACCGTCCTGCTTCAACTCATACGAAGGATCCGCCATAGTGAAGTCGATCTCCTTGATCAACTTGGCCACTACAACCATGTTCCACAACCACGCATAGTGCTTACCGATGCACTCTCGCTTTCCATTACCGTAAGATCTTCTTACACTCAAAGGCAACTGCTCGTATTTGTCGCCCATCATACGCTCAGGCTTGAAAGCCAATGGGTCTTCAAAGACCGAAGGATCCCGGTTCACACCCGCGAGTACGACGATCATGGGCTGGTTGTAGGCGATCTGGTACTGGCCTCCTGCGAGAAACACGGGGCTCTTGTCGCCGTCCTTAGGAATGGGTTCGATGTTGAAGCCCGGGGCGGCGAAAGAAAGTCGCAGAGACTCGCGGACGATGCCTTCGATGTACCTGAGCTGCGAGAGGTGCGCAAAGTGCAACTCGCCGTCACCGACAACGCGATTGAGCTCGTCGCGTGCAGTAGTGATGACGTTAGGGTTCTTCAGCAGGAAGTAGATGGCAGTGCTGACCATGCCTGGCGCCGTGCTGCTGCCAATGGGCATGGAGACGATTTCGTCAATGACCTGAGCGTGAGTCAAAGCTTTCTCCGACTCGGAGTCCACTGTGCTGAAAAGGGCAGCCAGCAGATCCTTTCTGTCCGAGGGGTTGCTCTTCCGGTATTGGACCAGATCTTCGGCATATGCCCGCATTACTTGCTTTCCCTTTTTGAACTTGCTTCCATAGAAGAGCCAGTTGAAGAGACCAGGTCGGTTAGGTCGCTGCATTGCCTCGGATGTCGAGTCTTCCATTCCTCGGAGCATCGGATGTTCCGGTCCAGTGAGACAGTTGAGCTTCTTGCCAAAGAGCGCCAACGTCGTAGCCTCGAGATTCAATCTGTTGAGCTCGCCAATGGCAGACACCTCAGCGTTGACACCGAGGCCCTTCCACTTCTCTAGAAGCTCGTTTGTTGTGCTGAGCATGTCCGTGAAGCGCTCCGCCACGGACGCCGCTGTCAATTTGGGGGCAATGATGCGGTGTGCAATGCCCCAGTTCTCCTCGTGGTCGTAGGCTGTGAACAGAGCATCGTGGACAGCGTATCGGATCTCGACGATGGGGCCGCCAACGTACTTGCGGAATCGTTTCTCGTCACAAAGTTCCTCCACGAGTGCGGCACCGGCAACGAACATGATTGTTTTGTTGAGGACCTTGATTTGGAAGATCTCGCCGTACGTCTCGGACAGCTTCTTGAGTGACGCCCAGGTGTTCTTGGTGTCGATGTTGTTGATGTTGCCCAAGAGGGGCACACCTGGTGGTCGTGGAATTGGGGTCGACATCGTGTGGGATATGGGCAAAGTAAACCGGATGGAAGACTAGGATGGAATTTAGAGAAAGCGGTAGCTACCGGGGACGGCAAAACGGACACAAAAAGCAGCCCGACCTCGAGCCTTAAAACGAAATGCCCAGCATCTCCCAAGTTCCCAGGTCTGAGATGTGGAATCCTCTTTGTTACCCCTTCGCGTCACTCGCCCAAAGCTATCTCTCGCCTGTCTCACAGGGTCACGGCATCTCCCAGGCGCGACGGCCCGTATTTTGCTAACGTAGTTGCTGTCATTGGGTCGACTGGTGTTGGTGTCACGGTGTTTGGCTGTTTTCGTCCAGTTCGGAGAACCATGTCTCACAAGGTCAGACACTACGCTGAACGAGTACTGATTGCGCCTCGCCGTTGCATCTCTGCGGGGCTTTGCATTGTGTCATACTCGTCATTACATGAGCATCGCCAAACTCTAGTTTTGACGGCGGATATAGACAGAGAATCGTCGTGTAAGTAAGCAAGTAGCCGGAACTCTTCTACTGTTCGCGTGGGTGCGGTCCAGCCTGTTGAATGTTGTTGTGAACCCGCCCAGCAAACCCCGGGCCCGCATCGGTGTCTCTAATCTTTCGAACTTTAAACTATGTGAAATACCACCAGATGGGGAAGCAATTCCGAAGATCTGCAAAATGTTTCTCCCTAGCTGATGATCGAGTAAGACATGTATTAGTTGGCCAGACATCTAGCTTATCATCATTGGTTCAATGCCGCTTTGCATGTGCACTGCGTTGTCTGTGTATCGTCGTAATTTCTTCAACCTAACAAAACACTTCCTGCTTCCGATAATAGCTGCCGCTCATATGTAAAACATGAATCGTACTGCGAGTATGCGGATGAATCCACCTGACTGTTATCCCATCCTAAGAGTAAAACCATCCAAGAGGCAAGTTGGGTTGAGGCTAGCCCTATCAGCAGAACATGATCGCGTTCAGGCACAGAGGTTATCCACACAGGTACTGTGAGTGACATTTGACAAGACACCGTCGTTCTCGTGAACGTCAAGTCGATGCTTGCTCATGGTGCAAAAGACAACTATTCCACATGATGCCCGCATACATGTTGTTCCGTTGTTCGACTGTCACGTTAGCCAATGGTTCGCTCGCCTTCAACAGACACTTTCTCGCATGTTGAAGATGAGACAAGGTCAGCCAGTGTCAAAACTTGACTGAAAACTTGCGTGATAAGTTTCAGATTCTATACTCATTCACAACGGTCAAAAGTGAAGATGCGACCAGTGTGGATTGAACACACGACCTTCAGATTGATTGAATAAAGTTTTCAATGGGTCTTGCGGACCCATACTTCAGTCTGACGCTCTCCCAACTGAGCTATGTTCGCCGCTCATCTTCGAGCTCGCTCGCCGTTCCCTGGCTTCATGTTCGCCATCCGCAGCTTTCCGAAAATACCTACGCAATGGAATTACTGATATCACGGTGGCGGCTGGATCAATCTGGTATTCTTACTTGAATTTGAGCGCAGTGTCCTCTTCGCTCGTGTCTTCGATGGTGGTCTCGGCCCAGATCCTTGAGTGCGGACGCATAAGTACCTTGAACTAAAGGCAACCGAGTCCGAAGCAAGGTTTCCTCAAAGAGACAGAGACAAACGAACTTTGAATTGCAGTTGCAAGCTGTTGAGAGTTGAGAGGAAAATTGATGGAACTACAAGCTCGATCTTTGGGAACCTTTTAAACTAATTACGTGAAGCATGCTCCTTGTTTCCCAATATCCGAGCACAGAGCCCATCCTTAAATCTTGCTGACCAAGTCCGAACCATGAATCCAACGCACCCAACTTACTGGTAGCTCTGGGACCTTCATTGTGTCCTGAGCACATAGAAAGCAGTCTGCAAGTTCAGCAAACTCCTCTGGATATTGCCAGTGTGGAGCATGGCCAGCATCTGGAAACTCATAAACACTGACAGCGGTGTTGTACATCTGTCTTGCCATAGCTTGGCATGTTTTCCTTTCAAAGACGTAGTCGTGAGATCCTGGTTTTCATGGGCAATCAGTACTTCTCTAAGCTTTAAACTTTGCTTGTTGTAAGTCAAGATCCATGTACTCACCTCTGATCAACAAAACCGGAATTCTCAGTTCGTTGAATCGCCCGAAAGAGCCTTCTGATGAGTATTGCGGATTCATAAACTTGGCAAACGCCTGGACTTGACGTCGGGTGCCATCCGTATCAATCAAATCAGACCAATCATCTCTGGCCTCAAGCATTCTCCGAAACGTCGCTCTCCCCGCTGCCTGGCTGGTCTCTGAAGAGTGAAAACAGAATTCCAGGAGCGCAGCTTCCTGACATTCACGATCATTTGCCATGCGAATACCCTGAAAGGGTGCGGGCGGTGGAAGTACGACTCCCGGTCCAATACTTGGTAGGGACCCAATGAGGATCAAACGGCGGACCAAAGCTGGGTAATTCAAAGCCAGCATCTGAGCTGCGCATCCGCCCATCGAAAAGGCCAAGACATCGACTTGATCAAATCCGAGTTGTATAATGAGTTCTGCGCAGCAATCCGCCCAACCTGCGTATGATGTAGGTACTTTTCCCTCGGATCTGCCAACACCAACGCTGTCAAAGAGAATGACTGGCCGCTTCTCGGCTATCTTATTCACAGAAACTGGATCTATCTGGCTCATTGTAGCCCTGCTTGGTGTGAGGCGATACTCCCAATACATATACCGGCTGATATGGACTGACCTGAATGATACGAGATGGATTACGGGAATCCCATGTTTCGGTCCCAACCAACGAAACGCCACCTTTGAGTCTTTGACCAAGATGGACTGATTAGGAGCATTCTCGTACTTTGCCATATTGAAGCTGATGAACACTGATGCTACAACCCTCAGAAGAAATAACATATGTACTCTATCTAGACTGAACTCACTGGCCAGATTCTTTGCCGGCTTTATAATCTCACTTCCTGCACTGGGTGAACTCATGCAAGCGCATGGGCCTGGTAACCCCAAAGGTTGATCCCAATGGCAGGCGCGACATCGCATGGGAAAAGATCACCCAGCGGAAGCTGTTAGGAAATATGTACCGGCGCCAGAAGAGGGCATCTGCATTCCAAGAAAACAGACGGCTTGCCGCTACTCGAACCTTAACCCCCGCTCTGTTCTCTAACACATCCAGAAATGAGCTGCACTTGGCTGCCGTGATCAAGGCTGGCGGACGTACGACTACTGCAGTCAACAGGTGATTTTCAGATGTGCGATAGCCAGGGGTAGATCAATGGAAAGCCAGCCAACTTTCTACCACAACAGTAGCCAATGGCAAAACAAGATAGCAACATTCGTACACTCAAGGATTAGTGCAACTAACGACGCAATGCCTGTATGGTGAAGAATGGCAATGACGTCTCTGTGACATGTTCCTCAGTGCTGCCTGTCCCACTTCACAAGAGAATTATCCGGCAGGTTCACCGGCCGAAAGCTGCGAGGGTCCGCAACTGTCTGCATTCATACTTTCACCGGTGCCGAAGCCAATCCGGAGCCAACGGACAGTCTGGATTCTCACCGTGGCATCTCTTCACGAACGGTCATGTCGGAATAGATTCTCGCTCCGAACACCAAGAAGTGAGTCATTGAACACCCTAATGCAGCAAAGACATAACTCGGAAAAACCATGTGGACATCTTCGGTGAATGGTGGGATGGGGGCTCCTGCTAAGGCGCAAGCTAGGCCCTGAATGCCACGACTTGGTTGCCGAACTTGCCGTAGATGCTTAGCTCGACCACTAACATCCACTAATCGACACATTAAGCCTAGCTATTCAGAGAAGCCCAATAACGCGTTTATCTGAGAACGGAGATCTCATAGTCGTGCCTTCTCCTAGCCTCGTCAGCAGGTGGTTTCACGCCAAAGGGGCGGGAGGAAGCCTGCCGGTTGCGGTCATGGAATATGAAAGAACAATGCCTACTGAGACATCGGAGGGTCGGAAGGTCGGAGCTCAAGGAATCAAACTACAAGGACCCCGAGCATGACAAAATCGGTCGATTATTCTGACGAGCGCGACTGGATATACTCCGTGCGGTAAGTGAAATTGAGCAAGGGCCGCCAAGAAGCCTGCCAAACTAGCCCACAATGATCTTCATCAGGCATTTCAGAGTTGTGTTCAGATGATCGTGATGTGGCCGGAACATCCCATAGGAACATTGCATCGTGACATTGGGCCTCGTCCCCTTGCTTATCTTTCACGTCGTACTTGGTGACCTGCCGTTGAGTCTCGCTTCCATTACATCCTGCGTTACACTGCAGAGGGGTAAGCAGTATTAATAGGGCTCAGCTGAGAACGCGGTGGCAGCTCACACAGGAGATACATAGGAGTTAATCGAAATTGATCTTCGATCCAACTTTACTGCCCATCTGATTGCGGCGTGTGTATCAACCAAACTTCTGCCCACTGTTTGCTTTGAGTCATTCTTAGATTCCGTTCAGCAACCACCAAACTAAGAATGGCAAGATCTGTTGTTGAAGCTCTAAACCGCCTGGAACAGAGTTTGTTAGTCTCCAAAGATTGCTCGAGAATGGTTTTGTGAAATCCAGCGATATGTTTGGAGGCGAATACAATATATTCGACTTCGGTCGTACGGAGGTAGCAGTAACGATCTACAACTGTTACGTGACTCGTTGCAGCTCGGATATCATAGCCACTTTCACAAGATCCTGTGATTGATGATTGAAGGCAAGGCAGAATTACTCTCCGACAGAAAGTTGGTCGGGAAGCACTCTTTCCATAAAGGAGGTACGATTGCTATCAACTGGGGCGCTCCCAATCGCAGAAGACTTCGGATAACATGGGTTTTGTCCATTCTACATGGTTTCGCATTCCAAGTCTTTCAACATGAAGCCAGACTACCCTGATATCCAGGACCTTCGAAAAGCTATACCACCGGGCTGTTTTCTTCCCTGTCCGCAGACCTCTCTTTACTACATCTTCAGAGACGTCGTGGCGTCAGCAGTACTTGCTTGCTTCGCCTTCAGCTACATCAGAGAAGATCAACTTGGGCCAACACTCTACTTCATAGCCTGGGCGGTGTACTCATTCCTTCAAGGACTCATCTGTACTGGAATCTGGGTACTGGCTCATGAGTGCGGTCATGGGTCACTCTTTGCTTCCACAAAGGTAAACGACGCCATAGGGTTTGTACTTCATTCCTTCCTGATGGTACCGTACTTTTCCTGGAAGTACACTCACCGGCGCCATCATCGGTTTACCGGGCACGCAACTAGGGATGTCGTATTCGTACCAGTCATGAAGACAACTGCCTCTGACAGAGACATGTTCTCTCCTTCGGCGTTCATGGAAGATTCCGATGTTCCAATCGTTCAAGCAATCTCGTTGCTAGGACAGCAGCTATTCGGTTGGCCTCTTTATGTTTTCTTCAATCTGTCTGCCGGTAAAGACAGTCTATTACGAGATGCTTCCGGAAATGAGCGTTGGCTAAGAGTCGGCCTCTTTGATCCTTGGAGTTCTGTGTTTAGGGACAACGAAGCATGGAGCGTCATGGCCTCGGACTGCGGTCTTGGTCTCATGGGTTGCTTTTTGGGCTGGTGTGGCAAGGAACTTGGATCAAAAACCATGATTCGACTATACTTTCTACCTTATCTATGGGTGAACAATTGGTTGGGTAAGAGTAATGCCCCAAATTCTCCAGCAGGGGAAGCGTTCGGGGGTCATTTCAGCTTACATCGAAACAGTTGCTATCACCTATCTCCAACATAACCATCCTCAAGTCCCTCACTATACCGACAATGGGTGGACTTTCGCCAGAGGAGCTCTATCGACAATCGACAGAGACTTCGGCTTTATCGGGAGGCACTTCTTTCATCTAATCATTGACAGACATGTGGTTCATCACCTATTTCCGTAAGTTGCTTCGCGGAGAATGACTTCATGAGGAGCTAAACGATCCAAATATATGCGCTAACCTTACTGAGTTACAGAAGAATACCATTCTACAAGACTGATGCAGCCACAATTGCTATCAAGCCACTATTGGGTGACTTGTACCACTACGAAGGCAGGAGTTTTCTGGGTCAGCTATGGTATCAGTCTTGCACACTGAAATATATGGAAATTGATCCCGACCGTCCTGAATGTACCCGGTGGGCGCTATAAGTGGAGGTTTTGGCGTTGGCATTTCATGGGATTCGCACTTGATAGAGGCAAGCATGTCAGCTTAGATGTGACAAATAGCATCGAGTACCTTATTCAATTGACCATTGCATGTGGCCTTGCCAGAACGCCTATCACCCGTGTCGAACCTGTTTACACGCTGCGTATGACACATCATTCCTGACACCCCTCCAAATTCCGACTTCCCTAAGCCCCGGTTCTTATTTTATTTGGGCAGATCTGAAGTTGAGCTTGCGTGAGATGGCTTGTGCTTGGGCTGCCACTGCTCAGAATCTCCGATCCTATCAACTGTGATACCTGCTCGTCCAGCAGGGCCCAAGCCAGCCTCCAATTGCCTCTTATAAGAAACGTTCCGCAGCCTCTCGGCTTCAGCCGGAGTAAGTTTCAACTGCAGAAGGATTTCATCAGTGACTGCCGCGAATCTATGACTGCTAGAAGGGAACTAGCACTTACGTATATCTCAATACCAATTGCATGCAAAGCAAGTGCCAGCCATAGCGCCATACCGAATGGCATGCCAGCAGCTGCACCAGCCTCAGCAGCGGAGGTTGGGCTAATGATGTTCGCGTGGACAATCGTTTGTTGACCCGGATTCTCCCCCGAGAAATAGGTTGCACAGGCGGGATAGAGTTCGAGAGCTCGATTCATGTTGTCAACCATAAAGGCCACTTGATCGCAAGGACGCGTGGTATAGTACGTTCCAACGCTGCTGATTACAGCCGCGGCCGAGAACTGAAAAAGACGAAGAGTAATAATGGAGCCAGCCTAGTTGCAATGTTGAGTAAGCCTTTTGATTTTCATTGAGAAGTAGACATATGCTGGGGCAAGCTTACGTAGAACCACGCTCGTAGCATCCAAGCCCGGTGCTGCTCGATCTGAAGTCGCTTGATATTGACGAATGCCAGCGTGAGCGCAATGACAAACGCAATCGCCATAACACCAACACCAACTTGGGTGTCCAGCGTGCCGCCAAAGGCATTCCTTGCAATCATCAAGGCGCCAGCAGTTCCAACAAGCCCGAGAAGGATGACGACATAACCATTGATGCGATGGAAGAGAAGGACTTTGTGACGAAGTACTGGCACGAATTGGAAACATGCCAAAAAGCCGGCGGGCAAGATTCCAGCCAGGTGAATGATGAGACCGGCCTTCTCATGGCCCTTTTGGTAGTTGAAACATTCTCCTGGCGCCGCTCCACTGCAGAAGGTGTCGAAGTTGAGGTACTGAAATCGCGCGAGGGTAAACCCCATGAGTGCGCCGAAGAAGATGAGGAAAAGAACGAAGTTGTAGCCCTTGGAGAATCCTAGGGGATTGTAAACCTTTCGAGTTGCGGCGACGAAGCCATTGGCTGGCGGGCGGGTCGGCTGAACCATGGTGATTTTAAAAATGCGATGTCGAATTTATATGGCTGGTGGAGAAGATGTTGGGAAATCGCCCAAATTTTGGATGGGGTTGGGTTCTGAATAGGTGTCTAGTATTGAAATTGTTGTTATGAGTGTTCGTATCCTCTAATTCTCTTTTACTCCCAGCAGAGGCTTTCATCTCTTATAATAACTTCCATGTTGCACATTCCGGTGTCCTCTCATCGCGATCGTTCTGATCGAGACAACTGTTAACGCAATCTTGGAGTCGACATGACCAGGATCGACGCGCACTTCTCTGCAAAGTCTGAGAGGCGCATGGACGAATTGGGAAAGATAATGCGCGACTGCTCAGCACAAGGGGGTTGCTGTGACTCGTTTATTCAAAGTTGAAGTTGAATTCAACCGCCAAAACGCCATCTTGGCGTTGAAAGTTGACCCTAGCTCTGACTACCAGGGAGATCTCTCGATCTCGCGCAACATCTTACAAACTCACAGTCCACAGCGCGCACAATGGTTCCCAAACGGGATTAGTTTCGTTCCGCATTCGCAGCCGTTTGAGTGGATTCACGTAAGCATGCGGGCGTTGAACATGACTGGGCTTAGCCCAATCCTTCGCCCCAAATGTTTAAGCAGCGGCGCATCCTTCCCCCGTGTCTTGGAAGAGAATGTCGTCGTCATTAAGGCTGGAGGTGAATGCTGCTTTGATTATTCTGCGAGCTTCGCCATTCGCTCTAGCCTCGCACTACCTAATCTCTCAGTTGCTCAGCCATCAGAAGTCTGACGCATCCCATACCCAAGATCTTGGCATCTGTCCGCGCGCACCGTAAGACTAAGACTACATACAAGCTTACCGGTTGCTCCCGCCGCGCACTCGGTACTCTTCGATTGAACTGCTGGCCCGAGAAGCACTTTAGAATTACTCCGTAGTCATAAACGGGCCACATCCCGTGCCGTCACCTTGCCTGTTTGAGAAGCATCTCGCGCCGCGAACCCACATCACTCTCCCCGACACCGTTGATACTTTCCTCAACATGGTGGGAGTTCCCGGGCGCTCCAAAGGTTGCAACACGTGCAGGAAGCGTAAGAAAGGCGTAAGTCTGCTCAGAAGGGATGATCGATTCGTCCGTTATAACGACGACGCGGCCCACTGCTGACGGAACTGCTGCCAGTGCGACCTACAACGACCTTCATGCGGGCAGTGCATAAAGGCAGGGTTAAAATGCGCAGGCTACGAAAGGAAGCGCATCTTCGTCAATGTGACCAAGCCGCCGACAGGCAAAGACTTCAAGGTGACGACTTTGGTGCCAGTCTCACCCGCACTTGTTCAGACGCGCTCGTTGTCCCAGTCCGCCTTTGAGGAGCGTATACTGGAGCTGTTCTGGGATGGCTACATGCCTGATGCTCCGATATGCAGTCCCAGGAGTCCCATCATGAGGTATTCCAATGCAGACTGGGCGACGACCGTGCGAGATCTCTATCGCACCGACGCCGCCTTGCGCCTGAGCCTACTGGCTCTCAGCTTGGGTACGATAGGTCGTCGCGACAAGCAGCAGTGGATGATAGACGACGGCCTCAAATTTTATTGCAATGCCTTGACGGAGATGAATGTTGCCCTACGGCATCCCAAGAGATGGAAGTCAGATGCCTTGATGGTGACTTCAAGGATACTGGGCTTCTATGAGGTGAGCAGGTAGTCTTCGCCCGAGAAAGACATCGAAGCTCACTAACTCTTACCCAAAAGTTGCTCTATGGCGCAGACGACCGAGAGAGGCATGGCATCTCTCAAGCCGAAAGTTGGGAGGGGCACTCTTTAGGCGAACTAGCCCTCATCATACAGCGGACCCCGGAAGCACATATCGACGGCCACGGCCACGACTTGTACGCATCTGGGCGACTTCATCTGGTCAGTCGAAACCCAGTCTATCATATGAATGATCTCTCCATTCAAGTCATACTGATAATATTCTGCAGGTCATCTCTCACGTCAAGCGCAGACGAAGGTTTCCGCTAAGCCACCCGGCCTGGAAAACCGTCCCATGGCAGAATATCCCCAAGACCCCAAAGGATATCTTGATCGACGTGTTTGTTGACGTCCCTGGACTTCTGGAAGACTTGGATCAAATGAACAGCTGCAAGAACCAAGAGGAGAAAGAATTGAGACGCCAAGCTCTCATCAAAGAGTGTTGGCGGGTGGACGAAGAGCTCAACTGGTGGCTCGATAATTTGAGCCCGAAGAAAGAACTTGAAGAACTCGCGACTCGGGGCTCCAATAGCCCAACAGCTTGCGATGTCGCCGTTGCCTCGATCATCACATTGCACTGGACAATTTGTATCCTCACGTACAGCACTCTTCGCCTTGCAATTGGGACAAGGTCGTCGGGGCTGCCCGAACGAACGGACCCCCGCGTCTATTGCACCAAGATAGCCAACATTGTCGACGTCTTCTTCCATCCATCTGCGGGAACCTTTGGAATACAATCAGCGCCGTTGCCGATTGGCATGGCGCTGGTATACCTGAACTCGTACGAAGAAGGTTTCAACTCAGAGACCAAGTTCAAGCTCGTCAGCTTTTTTGGACGGACCGCAAACAACGGTATCAGTATTGGGAAATTCTTGATGAGCACGCAGAGAGATGGTCTCAAGCCAAAGACCAGCGTGGAACTTTCACCCGAAGGTATCAAGGCAAAAGCAAAAAGTTGGTTGGGTGTTGTACCCCGAGAGGGCACAGTCTGCCAGCCATTGCGATCATCAAGCCAAGCACTGGCCTGTCAGTGAAGCTCTCTATGGTTTATGTCCGAGGCAGACGTAAAAGAAACACGATTTCTTCTCTGCGGGGATAGCTATCACAGGGACAAATACTTTTACGCAATTCTTGACTAGCTCACCGAAACGAGGGCTTCGTGACTCCACACATCAACCAACCGGCTCCATAACGCGCAAACTTCTCCACGACGTCCATCGGATTGGCACAACATCGCCAATAACTTCATCAGCCCTGGTGGTCTAGCGGTATGATTCTTCCTTAGGGTTATTGAGCAATCAAACACCATCTTGGAAGAGGCCCCAGGTTCGAATCCTGGCCAGGGCCGCAATACCTTTTGCCTGGTCGAGGAAAACATCCTTGTTCGTTTACACAGTGGGTGTCCCGACTTTTTTGCTATTTTGCTTTGTTTCTAGCCACTTCGTTCTTCTAATGTTGTATTTATGTACCCTGACTTTCATGTCTGAAGCGCAGCCGAGGGGCGCTGGACAAATACATCTAGTTGCTCAACGTTAGGCAGCTGGATATCTTGGGTGTGTGGATTTGGCATAAGCAAGCAACAGACAGCATGACAAATGATGCCCCTCTTCTTTATCTGGCAGCCAAAGACTTTCTGTTTTAGGAGGTTTAGTGAAGGCCGATAGATCATTTGATAGCTCTCATGGCTTTCAAATCACAAAACTAGCATTAGACTTTACTCAGCTAGATCTCAACGCCTTGTATAGTGGGCAACCCGGTTAATCCTAGGTCACATCTTAGGCCACGTGAAAATGATTCTTCCTTCTTTCATAGGGTGCTACCACTCAAGACGCCCGGCCACCCAACTGAGCCGGGTTCCGATTTCACCTTACCCAGAGCTCACGAGCAAGCCACAAACCACCAGTCACGCCGATGCCACATTGGTCGGCTTGCATTATGTTTCAAGCCGGGCAATTATGGAAGCTCCCGTGCAATATTTCTCCTATTGGCTGTAGACAGGATTTGAAAGCATGACGAACACGACTTTAAGTTGTGCTGGGGGGAAGGCAAACCCCTAGGTGAGGCACAGCCGTTGGACTGGCCCGATCCGGTTCCGGATCCGACGCTGTCCTGCAGGTGAACTACGAGCTATACTGAACTGAGCTGTCGTAACCCCACCATAGCTGTTGTTGCCAAGATGATGGGCAAAGCCGGGCCAAAATGAACCACCGCAAATATGCAGTCACACAACATCGTCAGGTTTCGCTTCTTCGCAGGCTCCTAGCGATTGGTCTGCTCGGGTTCGGGCAAAGGCTGTGCAGTTCTGGGCAATATAGTTCGTGAAAATGTCTTCTCAACACAACATTGCTTAGATCAAACTCTCGATTAGTTGGGTTTCCTTCGATTCACCGACATCGTCAGGACGTCATGACTTTCTATACGAGAGGCTGGATAGAGAGGATTTTACAACTACTCGAACATCAATGCGGCGCAGACTCAAGTCAAGTCATGATATAAGGTAAGACAAGATGCTACGAACTCAAGACTAGAATGAAAGGGAACCAACAGCCACAACACATCGACTGACTATCATCGCATCACGAACTTCAACCTTGAACTATCACGCTTTTTAGTATCCACTGCTACCTCACATTTTCTTTTTGAATAACTTCACCATGCGCGTTTCCATCTTGTCCACTTTCCTCATGGCTGGCGTCTCAATGGCCCAGGGAGACATCGCTGCGCTCCTTGCTTCCCAGCCCGACCTGAGCACGCTGCTTGAACTCGTTAGCCTCGTACCCGGACTCGCCGACACTCTCGCCTCATCCTCCAACATCACCATCGTGGCTCCCACGAACCAAGCGTTTGCCAACGTGCCCCGCGATGTCCCTGAAGGTGAAGCCATCGAGTACCGCAACAACACCATTGCCATCGGGGCACTCCTTGCAAACCACGTATTCAAAGGGGTCTATCCGTCGAATGTGATCACCGACGTTCCAACCTTTGCCCAGACATTGCTCGATATTTCATACATCGACTACAGACAGCCTTTCTCCAACTTCACTGGCGGTGCTTACAACGGACTCGTGAAGAATGGAGAAGACGTTTGTATCTTGTCTGGAGAGCAGACCATTTCTACTGTCACTCAGGCTGTCCGTATTCACCTGGTGTCAAAGTTCAAGTGACCAGTGTACTGACATAAAAAAACAGGATATCAAACTTGGAGAGGGTATCACGATCCACAAAATTGACACTGTCCTCTCATTCGGCGCCCCCTTCCAGCTCTTCACCTTCCGAGCGGGCTACCTCGCCATGAACGCCGCGTTGGAGGCCGCGCACCTGAACTTCGCATTCGGGGAGACTGGGGCCGACGAGCAGGGCCTTAACATCTCTGACTACACCATCTTTGTGCCTACCGATGAGGCCTTCAAGTCAATTGGCTCTGTGCTTGAGACTGCTAGCCTTGAGACGCTCCAGGAGGTTCTTCGCTACCACATCATTCCTAACAATGTCATCTTCTCGCCGTCCCTGGGCAATGTCACAGTTCCATCGCTGCAAGGAAACAACCTCACTTTCACGGTTTTGCCCGATGGTTCAGCCTGGGTCAACAACGCAAGAATCACGTTCCCCAACACAATTCTGTTCAACGGTGTCGCCCACGTTATTGATAGGTCAGTGAATCACCAACAGCATAGCAAGTGAATATGAAGCTAACCTCCTGCTAGTGTTTTGAGCCCTGGAAACTTTGACAGATCTTCCCTGAAGCCGGCAGCCCCAGCATCTGAGCGAGTTGCCTTCTCCGGTGCATCCTCGGTTTCAAGCCTGCCCTTCACGAGTGTCTCCTTCGCGACGGACATGATGGCTTTCACAGCGACACCCAGTCTGCTTAAGACAGTTGCTGCCGTCGCTACTGCTACCGCTACGGGCGCTGCCAATGCCACTGCCACGACTTCTGGCAGGCCAACTACGGTGCCAACCAACGGCGGTAGCAACCTGTTCCCCAGCATTATTTTGGCCCTTTCTGTCGCCACCGGATTTGCCGCATTCCTCATCTAGACCTCTATGGATCTAATCAAACTGGCATGAAGAGACTGGAAGGGGGAATAGTCTTTGGGAGGGAAGCAAACACATAGCTCTTGACTCAACGCACATGGAATGCTTCCAACGTAGACAGATATCCCGAGTATTTTACGCTTTCATAGATAATTGGCTCTGTAATATACCTATAACCATGTTCATTAAGTGTTCATCGCACCAAATGAGTTAATGTATGTGGGCTGTAATTTCAGCAGTATATATGGGCGTGTGGCGGCGACCCCAGCGTCTGGAATTGCAGTAGTGCCTACGTACGAGACTGTTTAAATTGCGCATCCATTTGATTAGACAGTGACCTACGAAGATCGATAACCAGAAATTTGCCCGGGAGTTTCTTGATAGTGAAGTGTCTCGCCGTTCCAATAGACTTTTAGTCTTAGTTCAATGGAAGTATTTTGAGGCCTGTTATTGGGAAAGGTTGAAGGAATATTGCAATTGGTGGCGAACTAATACAACTCTCGAAGATCCAGGGTACCAACCCATTACAGTAACACACAAGATAGAAGTATTGGGCAGACTTAGTTCAGCCGGGAGATACACCATTGGCTGGATACTGCACTGTCTTTTGACCTCTGCCCCCACGACGTCAGCTTGAGATACTTGAAAGTTTCGTTGAGAGGCATTTCAACATTGACAGCCATGTGGAACAACAATTATCTCCATTTAGGACTCAAAGGAATCTCGGCAAGCCTACTGGACATGGGTACATGCACGTTGATCAGATGGGGGCGGCTCCGTGCATGCTTCGTACACCCCCATCCAGTCTCTCGCAGCAAGCTCGCAGCAAGCACCAGACTAGACGCGGGCAGCGGCAACGTGCCACGGGGTTTCATGATGGGCTGATAGTTTGATTCTGGTGGTTCGGTAGCCACAACATGCGATTTATCCTCCACTATGGGCCGTCATGGTCCGTGATTCCGTGTGGGAGGAAACTTGCGAAGACCAAAACCCGGCGCTAGCACCGCTGTATGAGGGCCACTTTTCCCGGCATCTTCGCGCCAAGGTGTGTTACTTCGTTGGAAAGAGGTTGGCGAAGGAGTACCAGCTCGGCTAACAACTTATGATTGCAGGGTACTGAATTCATGAATTTCAATGTTTTTATTCTTTTGTATTTGAGTATTTCGGGTTGTTTTACGGAGTAGAGACACATGTCCTTGTGCACAAAGGCGGGAGAAAGAAATTGGTCGCCTTTACTCCGAGCATTCCGTCTCCGGAACCCGCCATCTCTTGTACACCAACGCCAGCTGACGAAGAATATTGATACAATCAAAACATGGGTATGGGGGGTATTGGTCATTGAAAACAAGTAAAAAAAACCAGACGCCAAATAAAGCCAACCCGTTCGTTGTCGCCACCTTTCCATCAAGGGAGTAGAGTCACACGGGGTGGCCGTGTAGGTCGTTTGCTGATGTAGCGCCGAAAAATTTTCGTTGGAGCCTCAAGGCTGCGAGGTTGTGGGAAAAAAGCTTGAGGTGTCTGGTGGATGAAAGCTCGGAATTCATCGGCTTGGGTGGTAGTGTGGGGGGCCGTTTGCCAGCTTGGTTGATGTGGGTGCATGTGGTGTAAGTTTTCCCCCTTTTCTCTTGGGCTTCGGAGCCTCTCTCGGTGGAATGTAGGCACCGTCGTGTTGGAAGACTTTTCGGTCCATCCTCTCGACGTTGTTACTACATCTCGAGTGTTGTTCATTTAGAGGCATGTTCGGCACTCGTGGTGGCCGCAGGACGGGCACGAGTTGCTGATGACGATCATGCTTCCGCACTTGCAGCAGGAGGGAGCGACGGGCATGTTGGCGGCGTGTTTGGTGGGGTTGTTTAGTGTTGATGATGGTTTGTGAACTTGAGAGCTGATGTATCGAGTTTGAGAATTGTCTTCTTGGTCGTTGAGAGGGATGGGGGTGCAGAGATAGAAAAGAAAGCAGAGAGTAAAAGAGGAGGAAAGGCTCGCACTTATAGACATTCACCTTGCCCACCTTCAACCCCGAACCCTCACTCATTTGCGGCGGAAGTCTACCTCAACCCAGCCAACCCTCTTCGGAGCCTTGGACCCCTGGTCTGTCCGTAATCGTTGTGGTTCGGTAAGTAGGTGTAAGTGGTGGTGTGCACGGCTCAGCCGGGTGTGCATAGTAGGCCGAGGAGGAGAGGCAAGGCAAAGTAAGGCAACATCGGACAACCCAAGACAGGCACGACAGGGTAGGACAGACATTGAGCAAGCAAGCGTCAAAGAGAAGAAAAAGGCAAAGTGCCATGCCAGGTTCATGGTTGGTTGGACCCTGAGATGGGTTGGCCGTCCGCGCAGACACACGGCCGGGGCCCAGCAAATCGGCATGCCGATCGAGTCGAATGCGGGGTTTAGTTCAAATGTTGACAGGGCCTTATTACAACTCGAGAACTCAATAGAAGTGCGAGAAAGACATTTCATACACCGAAAGGGTGAGAAGGATGCAGTGAATACTGCGTAGTCCCCCCCGTGTCTCCCCAGCCGCCGCCCTAGCTCAGTGCTGCGCTTGTGTCTCTCAACTCTCCCATCTCCTTCTCGCGGGCGAATGACGACCCGAGGAGACCGCACACACCCTAGCACTGGTGAGAGGGCCTGACGTAGGTGTAAGGAACGTGCGCTAGAACGCCAAGGGGGAATAGAATTTGGGCGAAGCCGTGAAGGGGGAGGATGCGACTTCGGCGGAATTCCTGTGATTCTCTTACCCTCAGCCATCGAGTAACACTTTTTGGACATCAACCATACGTTTGCCCCCATTCAGCTTATACTTTCTACTGCCAAGAACCATCTCCCCCAGCCCTTACCCTTTTACCCATCGGCAGGCTCCGGGGTTCGGCGGGTGAAACGCAGCGCTTGGAGATGCACAGATGAAATTGTCTGTCCTAGGTTGTGGGATAGTACAGACATTGATGTGACCTCCATTCACTAGCGAACTCTCTCGTCGGCTTTCCATTCATCCATCCACTCTCTCGCTATAATCAGGAATGGCAGCCATCACTGCCAATGCTGCACAAGTGAGGCGCGGCACGACGCCCGACAGAGTTCTGACCGGTAGCAAGACTTGGAACTAGGGGCTCTAAAGAGACAGCACAGCTATCGAAAGCTCTAGACAGCTGCCAGCTACCAGGTCTAGCTCCGAAGAATCCGACAATTAGATGGAGGGTGGGAATGCGAGTATTCACTCCTTACTCTGTCATCTGCATGCATGAGGCGCGGGAGATGAAAGCAGTGAGCAAAGTACTCTGCAGTTCGTTTCACAAGCTTTCTTATAGCGCGTCTCCGGGTACACAGTCCCCCCCACGTCGCTTGCGCTGCACGAAGACCTGCAGGCAGCTCGACGCGGCCAAGGGTGCACTACCTGTAGTCCGGTCCCGGGTCAAGGGGGGTAGCGCACACCTGGCAGTTGGTTGGACCGAGACATCGTGAGCTTCCCGTTCATTGGATGACGAGGATAATTATGTGAATGTTGGGGAAATGGAAATGGACACCGAGCTAATGAAAGGCCTGCGATTACAATGTGGAGAGAAGACATGGAAGATGGAGGGGGAACGTGGGAAGTTGGGGTGATGTATCCGAAAATGAGGGGGGGAACACCATGATGCAGCCAACAGCCGCCGGGCTACTCGGGCTGAATGCCGGCGATGGGAAGCAAGAGGATGATGTGGGAGGTTCTGACTCCTCGACCGGAGGCTTGAGCTTGTCGGTCACTCTGACGATCCAATTACCTGCCCAGCCAGCTTCCATTCCGCCCGAGCTCGAGCTCCAGAGATGAACACAACTATCGTTGATCTTGGTATGCCAACGAAGATGATCAACTCTTGCCCAACCGTCTTTCCGCCTCTTGAAAGCCCTGACAGCATGCCATGTCTCTCTGCTACCCCGCAAGATGAGCGAGATCGACTCAAGTGAGATCTGTCGAATCGAAGCGAAACGGTCAGACTTGACGCTTCGGGGGAGGGGGTGAAAGTGGAAAACCTGGGGCAAGAATGGCAGCCTCTGGGAGGCCAAGCAGTCGCATCACTTCCCGCGCCACTGAACCACGGACGGCAAGGTTCCTCGATGATCTGGGGTAGCTCTGCTTCAAACTTCAGAAGCGGGCGCTGAGATTTGGCGAAGGTTCCAACAAGCAAACGCCACACTGCATGACACGGGAGAAGGGGGTGTGTAGCAATACAACAACGGAGCCCAACTCACAATCAATCCGGGGAAGAACAAGACGGGCGAAAACCACCAAAAACGGTCTTCAACAGAGCGGCAAATGAGTCCATAAAAATAAGGCTCCTCTCAATATGAAGATGACCAAAAATAAGGACAAAGAGGATGGGGCTTTTCAATGCGGCCTGCGTCGGCTCACACCGAATCGACTGACAGACGGCCCACGACTCAAGCTCGACAAAACGCTGGTGAGGAGCCCATCCGGCGATGTCCGTCATACGGGGCCTTTTCTCAGATCTGCTCCTCCATGGTCAAACGTCCTAAACCCCGTTCAAGCATGAAAATGAGGCATTCACGCGGTGCTTGAGACCCAACCCCCTCCAAAAACTGGCGGGTGCCAAGCGATTCAAAGACACTCGGTCGTCATTGCGTTGTATTGCGCCGATATTTTCCTTTTCTCAACGGCGGTCTGTTTTCGTGCTGCTCTTCCTCCCCACGATCGGATGAGTTGAATGTCCTGCACGCATGACCAAGTTGGATATTCTTTTCATCTTCTTCCGTATGTTTGAGTTCATTCTGGGTCAAAGGACTTCTTGGCGCAAGGCGTGTAGTGTCGTAGCACAGCCCAATGACGATGCCAAAGCGCGTCCAGTCGTGGTTGGGGTGGACTTGTGTCTCAACTACGTCTTCTTCTCATCTACCATGCCATCGTCACAGCATACCTATGTCTTTTACGACTATGGGACTCTGCGTCAGATTTGTCTGCCTTGAGTATGCCCTGGCAGGAAAATAAGCGGCTTTCCGAGCCATGAGCCAGCACTAACTTCAGGCCCCTCAACTTGTCGGTGAGCCATCGCCGAAAGCGACCAAGCGGCGCGCAGAACTCGGTCTACCGGGTCACTTCTCACCTTGCTTCCTTTCTACCTACATATCCCCCCTTTTCTCCAGAAACTTGTGCCCTCTTCCCCAAGTTTAGCTATGACGCATATGTTTCTGCTAAAAGTTGAACGCACGTGAAACTCTAAAAACGGCGCAACAGGGACCCTTGTGGGGACAGAGTTGCCCTCGCAGACTGCCAGAACAGCGGCCATCCCCGTCTTGGACTTGGGATTTCTCAATGTAACGCACCAGAGACGCTCTGCTGGATCCAGCTGCTGTGCGGCGCAGCCATTGTTAGCGGGAGGCAGCTGGAGCGAATCATTCTCTTTTGCTGCAAGGCATAACCCGTCGTTGCGTCGTCCATCCTAGCAAAAGGGGGACGAGAGACTGGGAACCCCTCATGTGGCAACGGGACGCTGTGTCGCGGCGTTCGAAAATGCCAGATCTTCTGAGAAGGTCAGAATTCAATGCCGGACAGATCTCACCACCTTTTTCGATTTTTTGGCTTCCTGCAGAGAGTTAGATTGGCCTCTCCAATGTCTGTGAGCCGGATCGACTTGAGACGACGAGGGTAAGCTGAAGCCTGAAAAACGGCCCTGCGTTGGCCGTGTGCGTCTGACAAGAGCGGCGTCTGAGTCACTCGCCTGTCAGCACTTCAGCCTAGGTCTACGGTCAACTGGGATAGGTTAGGCAGAATATTTCGGATCTAAGATGAATGGAATTGGAGATATGGCACAGGAAGAGGCAGAGCTCAGTATGAAGCTAGAACTTTGGTGCATACGGGGCGTTGAATGCCCGTTGGAAAGGGATGGAGGGCGCTCTTTATGTGTCTCTCGTATGTTGGTCCACCTAGAATTCTCCCGGTGGGGAGTCATGGCCGAGGCCTTTGAGGGGTTCACCGAGCTGGGTGAGGCGAAGCTTGCCACACCACCCCGACTGGTAAATTAATACGACAAACAGCGTCCCTCAAAGACTGAAGATACTCGGAATGCCTTGCGGAAGGCCTTGCGCCCCCGTCCGAGAGCCGGGGACCGAATGGCCGCTTCGGCCAGCTTTCGGACCTCTGACTCCCCACCTAAACTCGGAACAGCCTCTTTGTTTGAGCTACCTATTACGTGAACACCGCCCTTCAACACCCAAAGTTTTTGAGCAGATCGATACAGCCCCTTTTTTACAGAAAGGTTGATTCCACTTAGCTTTTAGGCAGAAGCAGCTAATTTTCATCTGATATCTGCTGAAGAAAGATCAAGGAGATATGCTGCAAACTATCATTGGATACCATGTGTTCAAGCGAGAGACTGTCGAGCGGGACTCCCTAGTAGTGAGGCCGAATTCATCGTTCGGCGTCAGCCTAAGTCTTACTGCGTGCACATGCGGTACCCCTCAAAGGATCTTGTCCAGTCATCCGGCAATGAGGCCAATTCTGTATTAAAGCAAGCAACCTCGGTGTGTATCTCGCCTGGTAGAATGTGCAACTCCAAAGACTAGCATCCAAGCTCGCATCTCAGCTCGATCTCGTGATTGTCACATTTGAAGTTAATTCCAACAACCAACAAGACTTACACGATTCCACAATCACAATGGTTGTCTCAACTCTTAACGCTCAAATTTCCACGAACCAAGCAGCTTACTTTATCTCTTAGGTCACCAAGCTTTCTCTCCAAAGTCTCTCCCAGAGCACCGATAATATCACCATCAAAGATGAAGACATCAAGTCAGAATTTTCCTTCGAAGAGCTCAAACCTGAATATTCCAAGGCAGAATCGTCCAGGTGTGATACGCCAACGGCTACGATGACAGAGTACGATACCTCGGACGGCGTTGCGTTGTCCCTCCACGCTTTCGCCGGGCGAGACGGCATCCTCGCGAAAATTACTCCCCCCAGGCAGCCCGTGAAGCCAACAGTCCACGTACCCTGTGATATCGTCCTGGTTATCGACGTCTCGGGCAGCATGGGCGCCAACGCCCCGATTCCGGCTAACCCTGGTGAGGTGGCGGAGAACTATGGCTTGTCGGTATTGGACTTGGTCAGACACGCCGCCCTCACCATCGTGGAGACCCTTGATGAAGGTGACAGGCTCGGTATCGTCACCTTTGCATCCCAAGTCAAGGTGGTTCAGGAGTTGATTCCGATGAACAAGAAGAACAAGGGTCTTGCTAAGAAGAATATCAAGAAGATGGTACCCACGGATGCAACCAATCTGTGGAAAGGCTTGATGGAAGCTATCACCCTGTTCAACAGGAAATCAGACGAAAAGTCGGAAAGGGTCCCGGCTATGATGGTATTGACAGACGGGCAGCCGAACTTGATGTGAGTCAAACATTTATCTCTGCGTGTATGTGTCAAGAGTCTTTGGAGCTAATTCCCAGGAAGGTGCCCTGGCCAAGGATACGTGCCGAAGATGCGAGAAGAGGTGAAGCTCCTCAAAAATGAGAGATTACCAGCCTCAATTCACACGTTCGGCTTTGGATACAACTTGAAATCTGGCCTCTTGAAGTCGATCGCTGAGGAAGGAGGCGGAAACTACGCCTTTATTCCCGATTCTGGAATGATTGTGAGTTGAGTTGCCATTCCTCGTTGGTTGTTATAACTCAAGTGGTGATTAGGGAACCGTGTTTGTCCATGCTGTCGCCAATCTACAAGCAACATACGCAATTAGGGCCACGCTGCGTCTTACTTGTTCTTCGCTGCTTACCATCGAGGAGGCGATGGGCGAGTCTGTAAACAAGCAAGAAGTAGAGATCCTTGAAGGTGACATGGAGAACGGCATACCAGATCAGCATGAGCTCTCGATCTTACTTGGAAACCTGCAATATGGTCAGTCGAGGGACATCTACCTCCGAGTAGATGCACCCGCGGAACTCACCTCAGATCATGCGGTTGTCAAGGCATCGATTGAGTACTCTCGCATGGCAAACAACACTTATACACAAAGCACCTCACAATCGCTTCTGAACCCGACAACTCTTCCCGAATCTGAGCTCGTCTACCATCTCTCTCGCTCCAAGATTTGTTCTTTCCTCTCAACCATCATACCCATGGCTCCCGACGGCGAGCACAAGGCCTTGCCCCGTATCTCACCCGAGAAGATCCAGGAGCTCAAGGCCCTCATCAAAGACATCCCAGCAAAGCGCTTCCCATCCGATCCGAACAACAAGTCCTTGATCGAGGATCTCGAGGGTGCTCAGCCAAAGGGTCAAGTCTCTCTAGCTTTGACGAACCGAGAATACTACAAGAAATGGGGCGTCCACTACATACCCTCGTACTTGAACGCGCACACTCGCCAGATCTGCAATACTTTCAAAGACCCTGGCCCTCTTCGATACGGAGTCGACAGTCCTCTCTTTATCGCGTGCAGGAACAGGTTAGATCACGCGTTTGACAGCATTCCTCCACCCACACCCTCCAACCAGCACACCGCTACTCACCGTGGACGAGTACACATGAGCTCCTACAACAGCTCCTCCGGTGTATGCTTTATCTCCTCGACGCCTGTGCGCCTCGCTTCTGGCCAGAGCGTCCCTATCAAGGCTCTTCGAAGGGGCGTAGCGGTGCAGACGCCTTCTGGTCCGCGCCGGGTCGTCGCTGTTCTCAAGACACCCGTGCAGAGGGAGATCATGTGTCGCGTTGGCGAGCTCGTCGTCACTCCGTGGCATCCTCTGTCTCTCGATGGTGGCAAGACCTGGACTTTCCCGGCAAATGTGGCGGATCGACCTGTTAGGTACACCGGCTGCATCTACTCGGTCCTGCTCCAGCCAGGCCGGGATTCAGAGGCTCATGCGATCAACGTCGCAGGTACCTGGGGAGTGACCCTTGGGCATGGAATAGTCACAGGGCAGGACGCAAGGGCCCATCAATTCTTTGGCAACTATGGAAAGGTTGTCAGAAGTCTCAGAAAAATAAGGGCAAGTAAGAAAGGCGTTGCCGTTGGCGGTGGCGTAAACAGAGACTCGGTCACCGGGCTGGTCTCTGGCTTTGCTCCTCACAGGGAGGCGGATGTGGCCGTCAAGAGAGTTGCGAACAACGCTATATGTGTCGCTTAATGGGCTTTTCTGACTGCTGGAATATGGTCTCGGGACATATTCGCAGAACATTAAACCTATGAATTGACTATAAACGAAGCACGATTGAGGTATGATCATTCCAAGTAATTAGCAAACTGTGTACGAATTGTGTGCATCCAAGTCAGATTCTCGTAACCTGTTTTGAATACCTTTCTATGCCTTAGAGTCGTCAGATAATAAACCGTGGAGATGAATACCAGCGTCCATTCTATCTCATTGAGAAATGGAAGACACTAAGTAAAGTACCTATATCCAGAAGCGTAATGTTGTCTAGCCACCCCGCTGATCAAGAGTCAAGGAACGTTTGTTTTCTAGACAAGCATTGCACGAGAACAGGCCTAGATTTGGAATCTACCTAGGTAAATTTAATCGCCCTCTGGGTCTCTCCACGACAAATGAGCCACTCGAGGACTCGGCTGCACTATTGACACGCACTCAAGGATGCACATGTCCTCCCTGTGCCTCCCCCCCCCTCTCACTGATCCTTCATGTCGTGGCCTTCATGATTGCCGCACTCAAGGCATCAACTTGATCCCCCGTAACCTTGGTAGCCGATGTCTTGAATCCCTCGTTGAACGGGAAGCGCTCCTGCTCGAAGATAATGTTCATGAACTGTGTCGGGGCCATCGGGGCTTTGAAGTCACCTGCCATGACGCCCAAGATGAAAGCAGACTCTGCAAAGGAAGTCTTGACTTGAGCCGGCGTAAGGTTAAACTGGGGGTTCTCCGCCATGGCAGCGCTAATCCTGATGCCTCGGGCCTTTGCCATCGTCTTGATATCGATCGTCGGACCGGTGAACTGGGCCTTAACTTGGTTCCAGACCGTGGCATCGAACTTGTTGGCGTTACCTGTAACGGCCTGGTCTGCTCTAGACAAGCTTCCGTCGTGCTCGATGACGTTGTGTTTGACCATGTCCGCTAGGTTGACGGTGCTCGTGTTCCCCGTGGTCGAAGTTGTAAGAGCGGGTGTACTGAGTGACACCGTGACCTTCTCGTCGATGTTGAGCGCTTTGCTGAAAGCGAACTTGAGCTGATCCATGGTGATATTCATGCCATCTCGTGGCAGGTAGCCGTGGTTAGCAAGAGCGTTAAGGACCGGGCAAGGTGATCGGCTCGCCTTGTCGGGGGCCATTTGGAATTTGAAGGCCGGGTCCTCCGCTCGGGGTAGAACGGAGGCCAGACTACTGGTCACGGATAGGACCGTGATCAATACCGAGCTGTACATGTTGACTTCGATCGATGATGAAAAGTTGTGTTCTAGCGTCAAGTATTAAATTGAACGAATGACCAGCAAAGCGTCGCGAGGAATGGCAATAAAGTAGTATGAATCAACACAATGAACAAATCTGTATGTTTGCCGTCGTCGGGCCAGCGGAGGTGACCTATTATCTAAGTAATCTTGAAAGTCTAGATCGCCTCAAACTCTCCCCGAAGACTCATATAACGCGCCATTAAAGGCCGACGGCAGGCCGGTATGAATCGTGCTACACCGGACGTCCAGTCGGCCGAGGGTTTAATCTGTTGTTTTCTACAGGAAATTGACTTTCCACGAAATGAAACGGAATAAACACAGCTCATACAGAAATCCAAAGAAAGTTCAGCTCAGGCCCATCTCAAGCTTCACCGGAGGGATGAACCACAAACACTACCAATGGGCTGCGACAACGACCAATAAACATCGTCTTTAAAACGATGACCGTTTTACAAGCGCCTATAGATCGAATCATCGAATCATCTTACAGAGCTACCGAGCACATACAGCATCCCTTTACCCGGCCTCTCCCGTCTGGGCAAGTAGATCATAGCTCCCGCCCCAGTCGGGGCCTTGCCGGAACCCGCGCGCCGCCTTTATAAGATCCGCTTCTTACTATTCAGAGATGCCTCAAATGTTATTCTCGCAGAAACTGACACATGGCATAACTACACATCGGATGGTTAAAGTTCAAGGGGCAGCCTTGACTGATTGCGTTCCAAGATGAGCTTCTGTGAAAATTTCCTAGAAATACTGATGCTCGGTTGCCAACCACAGTGTTGAAGCGTTCCAAACTCATTGCTCTACACATAAAACTATTGATTTTTTCAGCTTCATGGTGAGGTTTTGATGATATTCTGTCGGAAGATCGCACCACTGTGCTAAAGATGAGTCCATCCTTACTCGGAGTTTCCCAGGTTATTGCGTTCGTGTGGAGCGAGAGCTTGGAGCGCATTCCTCGCAACTCCTTCAGACACCGTCAGTCTCGCCTTGTAATCTTCAAAGCCCTCGAGACGACCAAGTACTAAATCTGCATAGTATTTTGAAATGATGAATCTCGACAGCCTCTTGACGCCATGCTACGCGCATCACACTGCCCTATCAAACGAAATGAAACTTAGCATTGCTTTCCTGGAATCAACATTATTAGACACTATTACCAAATAACTCCTTGTGAAGGGAAGTTTGTTCGTGGCAATGTTCCAAAAATCTAGAGAAAATTGGCTAGACCTCGCCCTACAGGCTGTTTCATGAGGAAAATGTGGATGGAAATGATACCCAGAAGAGCTGAGTGGCTATTCGGGGCCTAGCCTTGCATGAAGTGAATGGCTCATCGGATTTTACTCTCGCAGCAATGAGGATTATAACTGGCGTATAACGCAACAGCGCCCGGACCAGGGAGAAGAACTTTGTGTCGCTGTTTTTCTCCGCAACAATGAAGATCTGGCGATACAGGTGAGGTCTTGCGAGCTTGTGGAAGGCCTTTGACACTCTGCAGATGCTTAGAAGGGTGCTTTGGCATGCGATCCACTCCTTTTCGTTGAGTTCGTCATCATTGCATCGGAGTTGAGAACAGATCTGTTCAAGGACCTCTACAGGTATATCAGAGATTCCCGGCATTGTCTTGCTGTGGGCTTTTCAATTGTGAGTTTCAATTCTTTGGCTATTGGAGGTAGTAGTAGGTACTGACAGGGAAACTACCAACAAAGTCTCTGGAAACCGGTGACAATGTGTCCCTGGGATCACTTCGCGTCGCGGAAATTGCTGAGTGGGAGGTGGATGGTGAATTTTGTAGAGTAGAAAGCCTGACGATGGGACAGTGTGAGGGATTCCGTTATGTTTCTGACGCGGAAAGATGTTAGCTTGGTCTGCCAGCAGCATCATGAAGAAATCTTGTACCTGAATTAGGCTTCTTCCACCGAGCAGCTGCTTTCTTTCGTGGGAGGAATATCGATGGAAGACCAAAATGCCTCGATGAGTCTCCCTGGTTGGAGATGTCGAGAAGAGAAGGGAGAGACTTGATGTGGTGTGATATGGGGAAGAAAAGAAGGGCTCTCCTTTCCTGGGGAAGGAAGTCAAGGGCGAAAATTGTACCTTGCTTAGGAAAGAACAGGTCCGGTTACTCCTACTCCGAGATGATGTACTCAAAAAGAATTTGGAAAGGGGAAAGCACGTGATACCAGGAACTGAATGAATACAGGTATTCGTATATTCAGGGTGTAAAGGTGAAGCCGTGATTCTTGATGGTTGCCGGGACAGCCATTTGGTCTGTCAATCTGATTTTGAGGAAGGAACCACTGAGTCTCTCCTGGGCGCTTGGAAAAGCAACTTCTCAAGTGACTGATTTTAAACCACATTCAACTTACCTTCCGCGAGTACGTAGGCGTACCAAATAGGTGAGCTAATCAGAAGAGCTCGAATTCCGCTGAAGAAGTGAGGCTTTGATCCACCAAACACACATCAAAAGCCTCAGTGGTGCAAGGTGTAGGACGGTTCTGGGAGGCTCCATCTTTGATAGCATCGTCAGTCGTATGTGGAGCCGGATGCTATTCAGGCATTTAGCTACACCTCGTACCCGCCAGCCTCCATGTCCGCACGAAACTTAATAGATTGCTGTCGAGGTCTTCCTGCTGGGAGTTTAAACAATCATCTATGAACTTCTCCCGCATTTGATTCTCTTGGATCGCCAGTTTTCTAAAATTATGACATAAACCAAAGCGGTATAATAACGGAATAGAAGCTCGGAGATTGCTATGTACAGATCACGGCTGACACTCCGAGGGCATCGTGATGTGATTAATTTTGAAGGCAGTTCCTGCTTTATCCCATTCTTCTTCTGACCTGTTTGTGGTTTCATGTCTTCATGCCCAAGTTTAGCCCCCTTATTTTGACACGTAAGCTGCAGGACAACTGTTTTGGCGAATGGCAACTTGCAGTGCTACACAGAACATGATGTCATCCTGAAAGATATGGCTTATCAGACTTGAACCTCGAAGGGAAGTTGCTCTTGATCGTACCTCCCACACGTGATGCTCAAACTTCCATCTGAATACACGAGAAGGGTATATACCCCTCTTCAATCCCATTCCTGTCACCAGCGCAGCAGGCGCCTCCTAGGTCGGAGGTCAGGTCAAACTGTGGCGTGGTGGTGGAATGGTTAAAGGTCAACAATTAGTATTTACACCTATCAGCCTACTCGACGACAGGCTCAGCGCATACGAGTTCGAATCCCAGCACGAGCACCAATTATTCCCAGCATGAGCACCAAGAGATGTAGCCCCCAGTCCAGCACCGGGGGGGGGGGGTGAACTCTTTTTTTCCCTTTTGCTTGTCGAAGCCCTCGACCATATTTGCAAACGATATCACGTGTCCATGACCTTCTTTCAGAATCAAATTAGTCAAGGACAGAGCCGCCTCTGACTGAACAGGACTTGATCTTGTGTAAGGCGATAGTGACATGCCGAATAACACTGAGCTTGATGAGTCTATAAGTCTAGAAGCTGTTGTATGATTCGATTTCGGCGTTAAGAACACGGAGCCTCTCCTTCTCCGTGTTGTTCACAGCAGAGAACAGTCTCCCGTAGACAAGGGGTTCGACTGGGTCTCGTGGCCATGACTAAGCGGAGGGAAACCTGCCAAACAAGCTCCGATGACATAAGTCACGGAGGGCAAGCTGGCTCCGACGTGAGCACATTACATCCCTGCTTGCCAAACCATCGTGCGTCCGACATCTTCAGCGACACGTTCTCAATGATCAAGAAATAGAGCAATGCCTCACATCGTTGGTCAGACGGCGTGGTGGAGCGCTCGGCTTGGGACTGGTCTGGGGTGAAGCTGCTTATCAGATCGAGACATGACGGATCTGAAGACAGGGGCATCCAACTATAAGTACAGCTGCTGTCTGCAAGTACACTTCATTCACTCGCCAATTCAAACCAATAAGTCCTCTCAAATCTTCACTACTCGCGAAAATGGCCAAACTCTCTGCTACTTGGATTCGGATCGCTTCGAGCAATCGTCTCAGGCGTTCATCGCAAGCAGTCTCGGCAATCGGGAACCAAGCGTTCGTCTTTGGTGGTGAACTCCTCCCCCGAGAGCCTGTAGACAACCAACTCGATGTTGTCGAACTCCTGTCCGAGAAAGGTATACTCTCTTACTGATCCATTCATACCCCCAACTTCCACCGCTAACAGACCTTCTTCACCAGGCTCGGCTTCCGCCAAGACCATCTCCACCGACACCGAAACCCCATCTCCAAGAGTCGGAGCCCCTAGCACAGTGCTGAAAGATGCCTTCTACCTCTTCTCCGGCCGCGGCGGAATCGCCATGGAGCCTGTCGAGGAATCTGGCAGCGTCTGGCGATACACCCCCACCCAAGCTCGGTGGGATCTACTCAAGCCGACCGACGCAACGGCACCACACCCAGCCGGGCGCAGCTACCACTGTACTGCCTCGGACGGTAACACGACCATCTACATCCACGCAGGATGCCCAGAGAAAGGCCGCCTCGCCGATCTATGGTCCTTCAACATCGAGTCAAAGACGTGGAAGGAGCTCGCGGCAGCGCCTCCCCCAGCACGCGGCGGCGCGTCCATCGCCTTTTCTGGAGGTAAGTTATACCGTATCAATGGCTTTGATGGCACTTCCGAGCAAGGCGGTTCTCTCGATGTGTACGATCCCGCTTCCGCTGCGTGGTCCACGATTACCTATAACCCGGACGGTGTCGAGGGCCCCGAAGCGCGAAGTGTATCGGCTCTCGTCGCGGTTGAAGTAAGCCGTAAGCCGCATCTTGTGACGCTGTTCGGCGAGCGTGATCCTAGTTCGTTGGGCCACGCTGGTGCTGGGAAGATGCTATCGGACGTGTGGGCTTTCGATATTGAGGCCGGGAAGTGGGAGAAGGTCTTGTTCGAGGGGGGTGCGCCGCCGCCGAGGGGCTGGTTTGATGCGGACGTGGTGGTTGATGGGGGCAAGCAGGCTGTGGTTGTACATGGAGGTCTTGCTGAAGATAACTCGAGGCTGGGAGACATCTGGAGACTCGACTTCATCTAGAATGTAGCATCTTGATGGCCAGAGATCGGTGTTGCTAGTTGTGGTATTTCTGAATCGAACTCGATATGAGGAAGAGCAAATGGGTGAAATGAAAACTACTCAACGTCCTTCACCATCCAGATTGACCCCTTCTCTTCTGTAGGATACACCCGGAACCCCAACTTCTCGTAGAACGGCACGACCTTGTCATTCTCACCACCGACGCCAATATGCACACCCTTACCATATAACCTGTTCCCACTGGAGCCACCGTTGCGCTGGTCAGCCTCTTTCAGACTCTCGACGAACTTGTCAATCAGCTTCCTTCCCCAGCCTTTGCCCTGCCACGGCTCCAGTAGGTCGATATGCATCGTAGCCTTCCAATTGCTCCAAAGCTCCTTCCTCTCCTCGTCGAGCACCAGCCATCTCGGGTTGAAGGCTTGCTGCAAGAGAGCCTCTTCATTTACCTCGCCGGTGTCTGGGAGGTTCCATGGCGCTTTCGTCTCGAGACTCTTCGGCTTTCTTCCATCCAGCTCCTTGGATGTCTCAAGAACTTCTTTGATGTACCGCGGGTACGCGCTCGCAAAGTCGTTCACGTTGGGGCAGCCAATGCAGTACCCAACGCAGTTGCCCTCGCCGTCATCAAGAATATGGCAAGTTCCAGGGGACAGATGTGTGTACTGGTGTGTCCACAGGTATGGCGCGGTCCTGGTCGCTGCTTCGGAGCGCTCGAGGGAGGGTGGTAGCGTGGCACGGCACTGGGTTCATTGTCAGTCGCTGCGGGACAAAGATAAGCCAAGATAAGGATATTTGAGACGCACGATATGACCCGTCGCATCAAAATCAGATGTCTTGTAGGGGCGGATGAAAGCCATGGTCGATGAGGTGAGCTGGAATGAGAGGCGTTGAGTTGAAAGTGAGAGGTTGCCGCTGGCAGTGTAGTGGTACCGGGGCCTGAATGGCCGGATGGCGGGGTAGCGGGGTAAATCGCTCCGGACCAGACTGGGGAGGATTGACCTGCTGCTGGAGTGACATTCACGAGGCATCTCAAGCCTGGCGATAGCGGCAGAATTCAAGAGAAACAGCACCATCTATGTAAACGAGCGGTACACAGAGATGAGGCTGAAAGATATCGTCGCAAATGACATGAGAGCATGAGAATGACGTCGGTCGGGGCTTCTGTTCACCGGATGCCGTTCATTGAGCTGGGACAGGCATCTCGGCGCCGAAATAATCACCCCGCATTTCCGGTGTTCAATCGGGCTGGCCAGCTTCATCAAGTCTCATATTTCATAATCCCAAACAGGCCTCTTACGCATTTGAATGTGTTCGAGTTCTTGTAGTCGTCAAGAGAATGGTTGTTTCCAGATTGGTGATGAGGTCTGCTTCAAGGCCTCAGTCGGCGACTAAGCCAGGCTTCGAAGTAATGGCCATGGTTGTTCTTTCACAGATCGTTTGAACAGCGTGCAGTACTCTCAGCCCTTGTTTGACTCAGATCATATTGTCGACATGTCATGTATCTCATTGATTGTTCTGGAGTCGACTTCTTCAGTCCTCCAGCCTGAGACCAACTGCTCCGGCTTGTCTACGACTACATAAAGCCGAATACCCAGGCGTCTAAGCCACAAACCCCCATATGCCTCCAAGCATCTCATCCAACATGTCGCAATCAACGCCAACTTTCAAAAGCTGCCTCAGAAACTCAACGACGTCGTCCTTTCGAGTGGAGAAGAAGCGCGTCCGTTTCAATAGCCAAGACCAAGTGCGCACCTTCCAGCGTCGCTACGATGAACTAACAACTCCACCTAGAACTCCCACCGCATCCAAGACCTGCTCAGGCTTCGAAGACGATGACTACATTGTCGACCTGCACCTCGAGCAAGCCAAAATCCACAAGCGCATGTCCAGACAGAAGACCATCATGGATCGAGAATTTCTCCGCAGGTTACTTATCCCCGGTACTGAGCTCTGCCAGTTGCTCCGGCAGATGCTCTACCAGCGAAGGAAGAAGAAGAATGCTTACTTGTACAGGCAGAAGAACCGACGTTTCCAGAAACGCCAAGGCAGAGTACGAGGTAAAGGTCGTGTCAGGAAGCTTCACTGGGAGTTTGCGCAGAGGGTCAAGAACCGTCTTCAGCGAGGTGGTCGGTACATTGTTTCACTGCTTCAGCGTGGCTGGAACCTCAACAACAGATATAGGGCTATGTGATGCAACAATTGCAATTTGAAATGATTTGGTTTGGTTTTGATTTCTCACCTTAATTTTGTAGTCTAGAATAAACATGAGGATCAAACGCTCCCTTAAAGTGTAGTAGCCTCGTAAGGTGAGAACCGGCCAAGAAACCTGACATGGATTGGAGCTGCCTGTGGCTTACTGGCCTTGTGCTTGGTACTATGTTGTTTTCATAAAGCTGCAGTACTAGGTAGACCACCTAAACATGCCAAATTTCAAGAAGCGTTCTATTCAACAATGGCATTCCGTCGCGTATAGCATGGTCTACAGTGGTAGTGAAGTTAAGGTAAATAATTGTAAGCCCCTGTAATGACATTAAAAAAAAGGGGCCGTTATCATCGAATGCGACTTCTTCCAAATTCAAATGACTCCGATTCTTGAGGAAATCTGTTTCGGCAGGAGGTCACAGTTCGTTCCTTCCTGCTTTCGGAAAAAGACGAGCTTGAGGAAGAAAGTACGGAAGTGAAATTCGGGAGGTACCTTCCACTTCTCGCTCCTTCCACACAAGATTTCCTTTCGACTTCCTTCCCGTCGATTCTACCTTACTCTCTTCCTCCCCTTCCCTCTCCTTCTTCTCCCTGATCCATTACAAAAAGAACTTTTCTTCTCATCATTGTCATCTTTTTCTGATCCTCAAATAAACAGCACAGAGCAGGACGCCCATTCGTCGCCGGCAGAGGACTGTCTTGCAACATTCAGACAAATCCAAGCGCCATTCAGCACCCTCCCGTTGCCTACCCTCAGCCAGGCAGAGGTAGAATGTACTCACTCTGCCCAGAGAATACAGAAGACTAACGAGTCCGCAGCATCAAGCCAGCCATCGACCTTGTTCTTTCAGATCCTCCCGGCCGTGCAATCGTCGCACCGTGTCGCTTGGCCATCATGCCATCGATATCGAGTCTTCCTCCCGAGATGCTGGGTGAAATTGCCGCATGGTTCCAAGATGACACCCCGCTTGGCGCAAAGAACGACTGGAAAGCCGACCAGAACACGCTTGCGATTCTTTCCAGGGTATCGAAGTCATTCCAATATGCAGCCCAACCTCTTCTCTATCGCAAAATCTATCTCGCCGTCCGGGACCCAGCCGGCCTCGACATCTTGTCGTTGATCAAGGTTCTGTATAATCGCATGGACCTCCGCTCCAAGGTGAATAAAGTTCAGATACACTTTGAAGAGGCCTTTTCTTGCCACCTGGAGCGAACTATGGACGATGTCCAGAATCTCGATCATCTGGCCCGGGAAATTGACCAGACAAGCCTCTGCCGCGCACTACAGGGCAACACAAACAGTTCCTGTTCATACAACAACGTATTATCTTCGCTACTTTTCTCTCAGCTTCGAGGTGTATCTCAAGTCATGATCACTGGGCTATGTGGCCCGGACATAAAAGACGACTATGGAGAGTTCGACCACTTTGACAATGCTTGGTCGGTCTTGCCATATCTCTTGATACCCCCCTCTGAGACACCGGAGGCTTTGCTTCCGAACTTGGCTTTTCTTCGTTTGGACGCTCACGTAATTACAGTCATGAACCTCTCAGACATTCACTTGCTCGCTCGTCTCGCACCCAACCTTGAAGAGTTTGAAGGTTGCGGCTTTGAAAGCGTCCCAGTCGAGGCATTCAACACGTTCAAAAGGCTTAAGCGTCTGTCTCTTTCGGAAGCACCTTTTGTGGACAACGACTTCCCAAATCAGGGAGAGTTTCTCCAGATTTCGCCTGGTCTTCATTCTTTCCATTACAGTATGCGTTGCTCCTGGTTCTCGTATGGACTGAACGTTTCCCCGATGAGGGTCCGACGGGCGCTGGCGCAACATTCAGATACTCTGATCAACATTCGCGTTCAATGCCACCTGGACATCGAAATGGAGGAGAACGAGTGGTTCGATACTTTTGGAATGTTTCAAAGACTCGAGCATCTTTCGTTGGATCCAGCGGACTTTGATTTGAATTATCAGAACTGCTTGGACGGCCCAAATGCGTTCATCACCACATTACCTCGATCACTTCGAAGCCTAACCTTCCTGGCCCAGCACCACTCGGACTTTACGGACATCGAATGGCTTGCCAATGCCGTCTACGAAGGGGACTTTGAGAATCTCGAAAGCTTCACCATACATATTACAGACAGAGACAGAGACTTCTTTCATTTCGCCATGAGAGAAATCTGGCGTGGGATCGATAAGCCAGAGTCTGGGGAGGACGAAGCTTCCTTCTGTGTCAAAGTGATTTCTGAGACTAATTCGAGGGAATTGTGGTGTTACTGGTGATAAAACTCACTGTTTCAGTCTGTCAGCTTGGTACATGGTCGAAGTTGCCTTGCTCTGCCCCATATCTGGGACCAGGGGGGGGGGGTGAATCACACTAGCACAGAATACTTTTGTTGGTCTAGGAGCCCCAAGCTTCATAGAATGAAAATGAACCAATTCCCAATTGCATAGCTAGAGCTGTGAAGGAATACTTGTGAGAACGTGTATTAAAAGAATTTGTTGAAAGCCAGCATCCATACCCCTAGAATGTGGACACATCTCGACACCAGTAAATTTCCTCAAGTAGGTAGATAGGCGGGGGCTCATCACTGTAATATAACAACATGGGTTACATTGCAGCTATACCAGCCACTATGGCAAAATCTCAATACGGGTTACACTGCATGTGTGTCGGTGGCTGAGCCATGCCAGCATAAGCAAGTGTGGCAGGATCAGGCTGAGAGAGTGTCTGTTATGCGATGTTCCCAAGCATGATAAAATGGCACTTCTACCCCAACCTTCTGCCTCAAGTCTCTACTCGAGACCGCGTTCTGCTCGGTTGCTCAATCATCTTGCAATATGAACAGAAGACGAATTCCTTCACCCTGCACAGACGATGTGTCCGAAGTCAGCAGTGTAAATTCTTTGTCAATCCGTACATCACTTACATGTGTGCAAGAACGGTCATCTCGCGAGCATGAGGAGCTACGGGCGCCAACGGTTTTCGACCCGCACCAAGCTACCGAGAGAACTTTGGACTACGACATACCGAATTGGAAAGTCCTCCCTACGACGTCATTAATCAACGAGGCTGGCTCCCTGCTCAGTCAAGCGAGTCCCCCGCAAGAGCCCGGCCGATGGCGGGCTATCGACACGTTTGGACTCTGTGTCCTCGGCATTGGAACTGTCTTCATCGTCGGATCTGTTGGCTTCATGAGCTTTTTCTGGCATACTTCGATACATGCCAAAGAAGTCATTGTGCAAAGCACATTATGGAGCCAAATCGTTTTCGCCGACTGGGCGTCTAGATCAATCACTCTGACGGCCGCTGCGCTGCGTGTTTGTCTGGCGCTCCAGATGAACGTGTTCACCGCAATGATCGCCTCGCTCATGGTAGAACGGACAGGGGTATCATTCAGCGCTGCTCCCTTCGTCTCGATGCTGAGAGCTATGTCTGCATCGCCGTATAATCTCATCAGCTGGACACCTTTCGACATGCCCTGGGGCATTGGGACCATTTATACCGTGGCCATCACAACTTCAGTTCTCCTGACAGCAGCATCTCAGTTGGCCTCGACCGCTTTGCTCTCTGATTTCGCATTAGTAAATGTGACTGCACCGCGAAAGGCTGTCAACATGCTGTATGGAAACAGTAGCGTCATAAACCCTACAGTGATGCAGGGCTCCAGCATCTGGAAGTCAAAGCCTTGGGTCTATCCTAGGTTTGCGGAACTTCAAAGACAGCCTACCGAGGCCCAGCAGTCCGAATTTTACGAAGATACAGGGACCATCCTACGGGCATTCATTCCCTTTGCGAATGAGCCAAGCCGTAGTCGCCTGCGAACTTATGAAGGGCCAGCCGCTGTTGTAGACTCCAGAGTGGTCTGCGTCAGACCCGTCATCCGGAACGTCACATTTTCTGCGGTTGCCTTTGACTTCTCAAATGACACACGACTAGAGACCTACAATGAGTTCAATATTCTCGGGCAGTTTGACATACAAGGAGATTACGACCAGCTACCGATTAGCCAAGGCCAAAACCAGATAGATGAGCCAAAGTGGCCTTTCAACTGCGTTGTACCCGCTGAAGATATTCACGGGTACTCCAAAGGCGAACCCCTCGCTTCACAAATTGATAACTTTTCGATCTGCTCAGTGGGTAGGGGAGAAAATCGGACATGGCCGGATGGGAAGAATTACACCATGCCATTTCTTCCCTCACCCTTTTCAGCACTGAACACTACCTACACCTCTATATTCCTTGTATTCAACGGCACTGGGACGATGCATCAGTGGCATCAGGGTCTCCGGGTTCACGGCAACTTGAACAGCAGCACTAGCCGTTGGGAAGCCTCTGCCGATAAATGGATATCGACCTCGGACGGAATGTGGAATAGTGTTGACATACCATGGGAAGGACATGCCAAGAGAGTAGGCGTGTCAGTCACTGCATGCTTCGCAAACTTACAGAGCCATGTCCAAAATGTTAGCATGTCTAGTAAAGTCGACGGTCATGAACCGATCCTAGCTTGGGACAGCCCGAATACTCAATACACCACAAATGTCATTCGAGACCAGTATTCCAGCATCTGCAAAGGACCTCCCAGCGCAGACCCGGCTCCGGAACTGCTCGAAATCATTCCGAAGAAGAGTTGGAAGAGTGAGGATCACAGACTACCGCTCGACGTTGTCACCTCTCAATTACCCTTTATGACACGTAGCCTGCACGACCCCTTAATCGACCCATCGCCCTGTGGGATGCTACGGACGGGAGGATACTCCTCGCGTGCCGTTCATTACGCTCATTCAGCGCTGTTTCAAGACGTGCTCAGAACGAGCTTGAGCGTACCAGAGGCACTACAGGCCATTCTCACAGTCACGCAGCAAATGTCTTACTACGATACCTTGCCTTACTTCCGGAATGCGTGGCCAGCGACTTACGCCATGACAGAGGAAAAGCTAATACCTGTCCGGTGGGTCGGATTTGGCATCGTCATTGCTATCATCGTATTACACCTAAGCCTCGTTGCAGCTGCGTCTGTTTCATTTCTCAGGTTGACCACCTGCAGTAGCTTGGGAAATGTTTGGATGTCACTAAGCCAGGTTGTGTCATTGGAGACGGAAGGTCTGATTCATGAAGCTACATCGAAAGATGACAAGGAAGTTGAAGAGATGATTTGGGAAGCAATATTCAAAGGTGATTCGGGGTTGAAGCAGAGGATTAAGATCATGAAGAACGGGCTTAACGGCCGGAATGAGTTAAGCTCCTTCTAAATCAGAGATGGCAAAGGTAGGTTCTGCATATAATTAAATTAGTTTAATATTGTCATAGCATGTCTAAATCAAGAAAAGTCGTAAATCTAGCAGTGTTCAGAACGGATTTAAATCATTCGATAAACAAAACCGATATCCGTCCGTCCCTGAAGTGATCGCCGGGAGTTGTGACGAACTGCAAACTCATCAGATGCTCAAAATTACCGTGGGTAAGATACCCCAATTCAGGTTACCTTTTCTCCCTCTAACAAGCAATGCAGGCTTCTTTTGTCGGCAGTTTTTGGAAAGCGGGCCAAGAATGAGAACGAGCGATCTCACGCATCGTTCCTTATCCCTCTGGTGGGCCTCAACACATCTCCAAGTGAGTGGCTGACGGTTCGCGGGTCTTGGCGCACGCAGCGCTCGGTAGCTTGATTCAGATGACACCCTATGCGCGGGTAGTTATGCTTGTTCTCCCTCTGGGGCAATGATTGTCCAATTGAGGGCTGGCTCTATTCTTGGTGGCTGCGTGCCTGGGGCTAGACCATCAGCCCAACGTTGATCCCACCCGGGCGGGTCGTCGAAGGATCGTCAGGCTACAAAATTAGAGGCTGACATGCAGTAGATTCACAGACCTTGGAGGCAAGGGTGTCTCTGCTCCGTGTCCGTGTCCGTGTAGGAGCAAGTGGCGGGAAAGGTATCTCTTAAAATCTCTGTTCACCTCTTGATCGCGTGCTCACGTTTCTCAAGGTTCAGGAAATTCGGGCAGGAATACGGTCGGTTCTTTTGTCATGACTTCGAAAATTGAATACAGCTCCCTCCAACGGGAGGTGTCCGATGAGGACCGGGCCTCTGCCGAAAAGAACACTCCGCAAAGTGGGTCTCTGCCGCCGGACGGACAGCTACACTATGGGGGGACCACGGCCGAACGCATGTTTAGATTCCAGGACTTCAAATTTCTCAAGGTTTACATCTCTTGCATCTTGGTATACCTTCTTGCTGCGGTGGCAGCGGTTGTCTGGTCATATCAGGGACCCGCGGTCGACAGAGACTACTACATGCAACGCGTCTTCCGCACGCCAGACTCCTTGAAGGTTGACCAGCTCTACTCCGGTATCGCCCTCTCGGCGTTGCTTGCCCCGGCGGGTATGTTGGTCCAATGGATCATGCACGACTTCAGACATCTCCGACTCTTTGCTCTCACGGCGCAACGGCCCGTCCTCTTGGCGGACTTGGACAAAATAGGAGACGACTCAAGTGCTTGGACACTGAGGATTCTGGGGAAATACTCGTGGTGGTATGCTGTTATGCAGGCCGCGCTCATCGTTATCCGCACCTCGATCGTTCCCGTCGGCACCCTCATGCTCACGACCGGAGCCTATTACGAAAACATCACCGGGGTTGACGTTGTCGGAATGCCCATCCTTCCCTCAAACAACTCTGCCGTCACGAGATTGGCCAACGCGATGGGTTGGGACGGGCAGGGAACCTTCAAGCAAACTCTTGATGACAACGACAACTTCCTTTCGCGAACCGTCTACACCTTTGTTGGGAACATCGTCAGTCAAAGTGCCCTCGTCGACGTCTTCTCGGGCGTTATTGGCCCCATTCCGACACACAACCTAACTTTCAACATTAACACGACCTATCACGGCCTTATCCTTTACCACTGGGACGCCAATTGCGAATCAGCATCTGAAATACCATTCACTACCTCCCTCAACGGTGGTAACGCTTCGTACACCTTTACCCTTCCCGATTCCAGCAACCAGACGATCGATGTTACCCCTAAGAAGCAGGAATCGCAGAGCCTGCGTCTCTGGAACAGCGCAGCCAACAACTCCATTAATAACGTTCCCATCGGTGGCACCACATACTTCATCTCTGCAGGCCCCTCCTCATCTCTCAAGGCCGAGACTCTCACCAACGACAGCAGCCTTACACAAACTGCCGAGGGCCACTGGATCTCCCGCACCAAGTGCACTCCCGAGTTCTCATGGGAAGTCGGCGCCTGCATGTACAACGGCACCCTGATGACGGATTGCGTAGGCAATCCGGGCTCAAACACCACCGCCATTGATATGGCGGCACTCAACGTGCTGAAGGACTACATGACTGCTATCCCCTGGTGGATCTTCCGCGAGCAACTCCAGATCGTCGACAAAACGATCGATACCCTCTACGCGATCCCTACCGCAGCAGACTGGGGCCACTTCTTCGGCAACATTGCGCAGTCCATTGCCGCCATCTCAACGGCAGGATACTTTGGCACCGCTAGCGTGCCTGCAGTAGCGAGGGTCAAGGAGGATGTGTATATCATGAGGACAGTGGTGCTGTGGATCGTGCTGGCGATGCTGAGTGTTGTCTTCTTTGTCAGTTGTCTGGATATCTGGAGGAGCAAGTCGCGCGGTCTGCCGTTTAGAGCAGCGACGTTCTTGGCTATTGCGAATGCTGTAAGAGGACCGTGGTGGGACCAGGAGTTACATGGAAGCTGTGCTGCTGATGAGGTGAGGATGCAGAAGAGAAGTTCGGCGTCGGTCATGTTTGGGGTTGATACAAATAACCCGTACCATCTGGGATTGCTGCCGTCGGTGCTGCCGATTCAGCGGGATAGACCGTACTTTGGCATCGGGAGACGCAAGGGACCTGAAAGATCATAGGCCACTCGGGAATCCCAACATCTAATGATTCAAGTCGATGTGAGGCATAGATGTCGATATTCGCTCCTGTTCATGTCTAGTGATCCCATCCCACTCCATCCGCACGCCGAACTCCAGTCATCACCCCCTATCCCTCCAAACATTTATACTCCTCTGAAAACAGCATATACAGCCCTCTCATTTACCGGTATCACTTGCGAACTTCCCCCAAAGGAATGTCCATTCCATGGCGCCCGCTATACTTGGAAACCTCGGCCGGCTTCCAGCCACCGCGCTGCAAGAGACTCTCGTCCTCAAGACGGAATACCTCGACCTTCAGCGGGCGACAGCACTTGATCATCTCCTCTTCACTGTCCTCACCGAAGCCCCAAAGCGAGAGATCACCACCAGGGCAGGTGCCTACGATACCAGTCAGTCATGTGCTCACAGCTGTGGGATAGCTTTCACCAATCCAGGCTGCTGAGGCGCGGGTCATTGCAGCACAGACATGCACACAAGGAAGAAGGTGGAAAAGGGGTAACACTCACTCAAAGCCATCAAAAGATCTTGCTCAGCCAAAAACTCAATGTGATCTCCAGGCTGCGCAGGGCAAGGGTTCATAAAGTACCGCCCCTGCTCATCCAACCCAGTTACTTGAAAGATGTTAATCACATCATGGACATCCTGCTCGTTCAGCCCGTACGGCAGCACCGCGCGCGTCAAGTTAGAATGGCACTGGAAATTGTAGTTGCCGCCGCTGAGAACCGTGTTGATGTACGGATCGCAGCGCGTGCCGAGGAGATCGTGCACACGTCCGCCGTGCTCATCCTCGCCGTACCAGTCCAGGGAGTCCTTGATGATGGTGGCCAGCGGGCGCATGTAAGGCAAGTTGGACCAGAGGCGGTCGCCGGTCGAAACATGGCTGGCGTGAAGCTGCTTGGTGCGACTCGCCCAGAAGCGTTCGCGGGGGTTGTGCGCGTTCCAAATGTTCAAGTCACCTGTGGCCGGAATGAGCGCCCCTCATTCTGAAAGAAGAAATCTTCATCTTTATCTTTGCAACGTACCGACTTGAGGACCCTCCGGTGTGCTGATCCTCACAATTGACCCGGCGGGCGCTTTCCATGCTCTTCCGGACCGAATCGGCAGCGTAAACTCTTCAATCAACACTCTCTTCGCTTGCTGCGCGGATGCGTACAGCTCCTTGTCGACTGTGAGCACCGAGCCGGCGGTCGGGAGATAAGCCGGAACGGGCTTCGGGATCGGCTTCCGATCTTTGAGACGCTGCGCGGGATCCATGTCGGCGGCTGACATTTTGTAACTTTTGTTAGCGATTCGGTCTAGTGAGGAAGAAGAAAACTTGGCAGAGCAACGTTTGAGAAAGAGGGAATACGATTAGCCTAAGCAATTCGAGCGGAAGTCCACTGAAGTTCTTATATCATGGTGCTTATGGTATCCCGATACCATCAACCGGATGAACCCCGCTACTTTGGCACTTTGGATACGCAAAGTTCCTTACGTAAAGCACAACTTTGGAGGTGATCAAGGCAAGAGACTCCGACAACGAGTTGACGGCCGATGCCGGTCCTTTACTCATGTTGTCTCCACTTCTCCAACGCCGGCAACTCTCTGCGAAGGGCGCTTGTTATCAAAGATGTGTATCAATCATACTACAAACGTCTTATGAGAGCGCTTCCTGCGCCATTTCAACTGAAATCACTCACTACTACTTGTCCAAGTTGTTTCTCTTCAGTTTCATTACATCAAAAGCTAAATTGCGCTCGGCTTTAGACGCATTGAACGAGAAAGCGTTGGACAAGTGGAGCACAGTCGCGGGTCGGCCTCATTTGCTCGTTAGTCGATGAGATCCAAAAACAAAAGGTATCACTCATTAGATGGAGCTACAAATTGCCTCGTGGCGGAATCGAACCGCCGATCTTCTCATGTCACTAATACTAGTGAGACGCTATACCACTTAGCCAACAAGGCTTGACGATTGTAGAGGGAAGGGCTGCTAAGATCCCTCAGGACCAGGTTGGCTTGGTGGGCCACGACTGACGACCGAGACCAGAACGACGGCAGATGAAGTTGGGCAAGGCATCTTCAGTGACTGACAGGCTTCTGATTTGCTCAAAGTCCAAAGCAACTGGGAGAAAATCTCAGAAAACTTCTAGAAGAGAAACATAAAGGCTCTCTGCCTAAATATGAACTTGTGGTGCAAAACTCATAGTGCCGGATAGCGGAAGGCATAGATCACAGAATCCAACATGACCCATGCCAAGCGTGAGTTGTTTTGAGAGCCTAGAAGAAATCATCAGCACGTTTCTGGAGCTTCGAAGGCGAACATCAGAGACTTTGAAAATCGAAGCATGTATCAGCAGAAAA